TCACGTCGAGCAGTGTGCCTTGGAGCATGGCATAGACTTTAGTGCCTTGAACGCATGTGCTAGTCAGGAAATCGATGACCCCGACTATGGCGGCGACAGTGCGCCGCTCAGCGGCATGGCTCTGCTACGCGAGAGCGCCATCCATAGCGCGAAGCTTGGCGTCAAGACAAGCTGCACGCTCCGACTCGATGAGTCTGTCTGGTGTGTCCGCGATGGCGGCGTTTGGAAGGATTGCGCAAGAAATGGACAGGGCAACCAAGTATCGGTGCTGGTGGATGAAGTCAAGCGACTATGGAACCGTATCAATTGATATTACCGATTGTATGATACGATGTCGATGCCAAGTGATGACTGATGACAATGTGCTCTGTCTTGTCATCTCAAGAATATGTGAACATAGTTACCTCAACTTTCTTTTTGCTTGTATGTTTGAATAGTGGCCTCAAAGCTGTTCATAACTCAATGGAATCTTCAATACATATCAGCGGTTCATACGCAGGGTGTCAACATCCGCGGCCACCTTCCTAGTGTATGAACAGCCATATTGGGTCTGTTGTTGTCAAGCACATACTTGTAAGCGAACCGTTCTACTTCTCTTTGAACGCGCGTTATGTATGCTCTTTATGCCCCCCTCCATGATTATCATTTGCCCTGTGTTTGTGAAGGAAGTGCTGCCGGTCACGGCTAGATTTTACAGAGTACAACAGTTTCACCATAGCGCGGTGTTAAGACGTGGACCTCTCTCGTGCCCACAACTAGACAGTAAACAGAGGCATGCTTGTTCTGCCACCACAACTTCATCACTGTGCTGCACTAGGAGTGGACCCCTCGCCGACTAAGCGACCCATGCCTTCACTTTAAGCAATACTAGCTTCAACTTCGTTTCTCTGATCTGCCTTTCAAGTCGCCTGCTGTCTCTTTATCTTTTGAACGTGCATTGTCAACAATTCAAGTACTTTTGTCAAGAACATTCCATACGTTAACACACAGGCGAGGATACAAAAAGCCAGAGCCAGCTCTCTTTCAGAGCTGGGACAATGTCCGCTCTCCTCTCCACGGCAACTCTTGAGCCACATCTCGTTCAAAGGTTGAACCAGATAGTGGCCAGGTGGACTGCTTCTAACCACGAGCCCTCTCCTCTTCTGCTGCATCTTTACCGGAACTCACAGAACATAGACGTCCTCGACCGAGTTATTCGCAACCATATTTCTCTCATCAACCGGCGGTCCCAGGATGCCGCGGACGGCGAGATTAGTCTCTATGACCGGGCATTGGTGGCAATTGGTCACAATGGATTCGAAATTGGCTCCGAAGTGCAAGACTTCTACCTCACCGAGTTCCTTGGAGCTGATATCTCCTGCTCTGTCAATCAGCAGGTCGCCTCTGACTACATAGATTTCAACCTTGACTTGGAAAGAGGTATGAAACCGCTCTCCTATCCCCAAATTTACGGTCACAGGGGGAGACTACATGCTAACACGATTCCGTCGCTCAGCTTGCGGAGTTGGTGACACTGAAAGCGTAAGCGGAGCTGCCGGCGCCACCGTCAACCCCAGCACTGGTCATGGAGGCCCAGGTACAACGGGCACTCGAGACGCGTCTGGGCGACCCAGCTCGCCCTGTCACGGAATCAGCATCCAGCCGAACATCAATCGCCTGGTCATCCGATTCCGTCAGGCCAAGAACGAGTTCTACCGTCACAACGAGACCAACACGGATACCGAGTCCTCGGTCCGGTTTCTGCGCGACACTGCAGAGAATGCGTTGCAGTACCTGCGGGCCAACGGGCGTCCCAACCATCCTCTCATCCCAGACATTGAATATCATTTCCGGCTGGCCCGCGACCGCGCCGCGCAACTCAGCGGAGGGCGTCAACGCCGCTTCGAAGACCCTGGCCGGCATGGAGGAGGGGGAGCCCACTTCCGGGGATCGCGTCGTGAGGATCCCAGGCGTTATGTGGGCGATCCTACTCCGCGAGCCAGAGCCCATGATACACCTCGTGGCAACAATGGACGTCTCGTCGAGGAAGCCTCCATTGACCGGGACAACGGCAACGGTAACGGTAGCAAAACCGCGGCAAGCCCTTGTCCTTCGAACAAACGCAAGCGCGCCGTCGATAGCTACCGCCCTTCTCGTGACAGCTAATCCAGATACCGACAATTCGCACATGGGATGGAGTAATGGCGACAACGTGAGGAGATGCTTGGGGTATCTGCTCATTTCTGCTATCTAATGACCGGTCAAGGTGCTCATGCTCATGGTATTGGATACAAGGGTGCGAAGATGATTCGGATGGAACGTTGATGCAGTTTCAACTAACACAACTTATTGTTTATTGTTTAACAACGATGGATGGGACGAAGGTCTTGCGTAGTCTTGGCTGCAGATCTTCGGCTCTTTAGCTTCGGAGCTGCTGCCACGTGCTCGGGAGGGAGGAGTTCGCTGTCTTGCTTTTATCGATCCTGGGCCTGCTCTCTTCACTTCTCCTGTACTGTCGTTGATAACATACATGACTTTAATGCGACCAAATTAGTTTTGCTTTTTTGTTGTCAAGGTATGATTTGCTTAGACAACGCGCATCCAGCCAAATGACCTCCTTGCGCGCTGGCCCGACCGGAACCACATCTTCCCCTTTCGGCAGTGGGTCTTCGTCGTCTGATGGGCTTCTGTACACTCCGGCCTCCGACAGATCAGAGGAGGAGGAGGAGGAGGATGGCCCATCTTCATCCCGGCCCTCTCGTCCTACCATAGGATCTCTGAAAGTCCAGACGGACTTCAGTGATGACGCTGACCTTTCGGGTTCATCCGACGATGGGCTGGACGATGGATATGATTCCTATGATGATATCCGGCCCAACTCAAGCAGAGATTCTCACGATTTTCTGAAGTATACGATTGAGGAGGAGCAACAGGTGGTCAAACGCTTCGATCGCAAACTCGTTCCATTCCTGGCGTTGTTATACTTGCTTTCCTTTCTTGACCGGTCTAGTACGCTCCATCTTGCCTAAACTATGCCCCTTTAAATACCAATCTGGCAAACTACGAGTACTTTGCTAACCCATGCATGCAGACATCGGCAATGCAAAGATTGCCGGCATGGAGGAGGACCTGCAGCTTTCCTCCTCGCAGTATGAGTGGCTTCTCACAGCCTTCTACATCACCTACATCCTCTTCGAATGGATGACTCTGATGTATCGACTGGTGCCTGCGCACATCTACATCTCCCTGTGCGTCTTTGGATGGGGCCTCGTCGCCTCTTTCCAATCGCTCGCCACCTCCTTCGGCGCGCTCGTCTTCCTTCGCGCAGCGCTGGGGATCACTGAAGCAGCGTTCGGGCCCGGCGTGCCCTTCTATCTCTCGCAATTCTACAAGCGGGAGGAACTCGCCTTCCGCAACGGGCTCTTCATCTCCGCCGCCCCGCTGGCCTCCTCCTTCGCCAGCAGCCTGGCCTGGGTGATCGTCAAGTTCAGCAGCGGAGGCCCCATTGCCCCCTGGCGCACCTTGTTCCTGGTGGAAGGGTTCCCCAGCGTGATTGTGGCCGTCTTCGCCTGGCTCTGGATCCCCGACTCCCCCGGGACCGCGCGGTTTCTGAACTCGCAGCAAAAAATGATCGCGCAGCTCCGCATGGATGACAGTAGTAGTGGCAGTGGCAGTGGCACTTCATCACGGCGACTTGGAGGTTCCTTCAACTGGGGAGAAGTCAAAAAGACCCTCGCGGACCCCAAAGCGTACATCACCGCTGTGAGTTCTTCTGTACCTACTCATCTGACCTCCACATAACACAAGCAATTAACAAGACCCTCCCTACAGTTCATGTTCTTCAGCTGCAACGTCGCCTTCAGCTCCATGCCCGTCTTCCTACCCACGATAATTGCAGAGTAAAGCGCCCCCCTTCCCATCCCTCCAACCCCAACTAACCAAATCACCCCCGCAAAACCAGAATGGGCTACACCCCACTCCAATCCCAAGCCCTCAGCGCCCCGCCCTACCTCCTCGCCTTCGTCAGCGTCCTCCTCACAGCCTACTACTCCGACCGCCAGCGCCGCCGTAGCCCCTTCCTGATCGCCCACGCCCTCGTCTCGGCGACCGCGTACCTCACCCTCGCGCTCACGGGCCACTACCACGGGTTCTTCTCCGACCGGAACCTCACCACGCACCAGACCACCCTCCGCTACGTCAGCCTCTACCCGGCCATCGCGGGCTTCTTCTCCGCCATCACGCTGATCATCACCTGGAGCATGGACAACCGGGCGGCGCAGGAGGGCAAAGGCGCCAGCGTCGCGCTGCTGAATCTGGTCGGCCAGTGCGGGCCCCTGCTGGGGACGCGGCTGTACCCTGCCCGCGAGGGGCCGTGGTATGTCCGTGGCATGGGCGTGTGTGCGGGGTGTATGGTTCTCGTGGCTGTGTTGGCGGTGGTGCTGCGGGGGATGTTGGGGAGGGAGAATCGGAGGGTGCAACAAGGGAAACAGGGGGGAGGGGCTCTTGGCGGTGAGGAGTTCGAGATGGAGAGGAGGGCGGGTGGGGAGGAAAGTGAGGTGTTGATTTTTGGGGAGAGGAGGAGGGGGAGGAGGATGGCTGTTGGGGAAGTCGGCGGTGGGTATATCCTTTGATCTGATCCTCTTGCCGATGGAATAGGACCGTTGGTGGTGGTATTTGGACCGATTTGTTGCGTGTTTGTTTCTTGGGGAAACATACGACTTTGATATCTGAACCGCTTGGGATATAGACTGCTTTTTATCTTGGATGAGCGAATATAGAGTTGGAGCTATCATTTGGTTGGCTTTTACAAACTAGTCGGTTTGACCGTCTCGATGCGGCGGAAAGATGTTGATCTCGTCGTCGATCCAGGATTGCTTGATTGAAGTAAATGACAAATCAAGTTTCTCCTGCTACGGCAGCCAGGTAAGAAACAATGGCCCAGCAATATGAAGCATCAACGCTCCTGTGAAGAAAAAAAAAATAACCAGAAAGAAAGAAGCCCGCAAGAGAAACAAAAGTCCAGTATGAGACAAACATGATTATGTCCTGTACTTACCCGTTCTTTTTGTACTGAGAAGAAACCGTCCCCCTTAAACATAACTCTCCACAATTATGAAGCATTAAGTATAGAGGGTATCCCTACCCCTCCATCGTCCAACATCGCGCATCCACTATATCGATGCATGTATCGCGCGTGTATATATCCCTCCCCGGCCCCGGGGCCCCTCCCGAAAAAAAGTGGACGAAAGTCTACCAAGCGGTATGCCCCCCATCAATGACCAAAGTACTCCCCGTCATGAAGCTACTAGCATCGCTGAGCGCGAACAGCGCGGCGCCCCGGAACTCCTCGGGGGTGGCCAGGCGGCCGAGCATGTTCTCAGCCTCCCAGACGGCGCGGGCGGCGGGGTTCTGCTGGAAGACCTGCTCGACCATGGGGGTGAGGATGTGGCCGGGGCAGAGGCTGTTGACGCGGACGCCGTGACGGCCCCACTCCATGGCGAGGGAGCGGGCCAGCTGGATGACGGCGGCCTTGGACGAGTTGTACACGGGCGAGGTCATGCCCTTGTTGGCGATGAGCCCGCTCATGCTGGCCACCAGCAGGATCGACCCCTTCCGCTGGTGGGCGAACATCTGGCGCGCCGCCGCCGTCGCCGCGTTGAACACCCCCGTGTAGTTGATCGCCATCACCTCCTGCAGCGCGGCCGCCGAGTGCTCCAGCGCCGCCTGCAGGTGGTTGATGCCCGCCGCCGCCAGCAGCCCGTCCAGCCGCCGGTCCTGCGCCGCGATCGTCGCGAAGAGTTCGTTCATCTCGTCCGCGTCCCGCACGTCCACCCGGTGGTAGTGCAGTGTCCCGCCGTAGGTGCTCGCCGCGTGGTCTTGGGCCGCTAGGAAGTCCGGGTGCGGGTTCTCGAGGCGGTCCAGGCAGTGCACTGTGGTTTTTGCGGGTCAGAATGGTTGGGATGCAGGGACGGTGGAGAGACAAAAGGGTTGGGCTTACCCTTTGCGCCGGCTTCCATCAGAGCTTCGGCCATCGCGAGACCGAGGCCGCGTCCGCCTCCGGTGACCGCGTACACCCGGTCTTCGAGGTCGAACTCGCGAAATCGTCGGCCGTCCTTGTGCTCGGGTTTCAGTTTCGACTCACGGGTCTGGATGTGATGCGCGCCGTGGGGAGTCGAGGTCGTGGAATACGAGGCTCGAATGATTGAGGACGGGATACAGAAGCCTGCTCGGGACAATGTCGGAAGCGACCGACACAATGTGAAGCGCATTATGGAAGACGAAGTAAACGCGAGGTGAAGGGTGAAAGAAGATGAGCCAAGAAAAGTACACTACCACCTCAGATCGAATGGCCGCGATACATCGTCACCTTTTGTTGTCTCCTCTACTGAGCGAACTTGGAGTTTATACTCTTTATGAACCCACGCCAAGGTCGATTGACCGAGAGAAGCTGGGCGTACACGTTGTACAAAGGAAGAGAAAGGCCAAGCAAAAATCAAGCTGGCCGCGTGATACCATCCATGGGCAGGCTGTCAGAATCTAGAGCTGCTTTCACGATGACTTCAGCACCCATGCCATTTCATTGCTCACTAAATTCCATGGTACGGGGACTAGTCCGTGCATCGGTAGTTCCCCGCGATTTAAGCTTGCCACAGGGAGCGTGCGCGTCTCGAGGCAGTGGCATAGAGAAATGATTGGGGCAACGGTCGTGTTTGAGGAGCTATCGTGGAGCAACGACCAACTGCCCATTGCTTGGATGCAGAGTCCGGCCAGCAACCTTGATCAGTTGATCGAGGGGTGACGATCATCCTTTAGGAAAGGCCCACAAGGACGGGATTCCCGAGTATGGGGAGGCCGAACAGCTGGATCCGATTCAAAATTAGACCAGCAACTAGCACAGAAGGGACGGTCATTGCTACTCGAAGTAGCAGTGTCGGCTCTGGTTCCCAAATGTTTCTTTTCTCAACCCTATGACGACCAGTTCAAGGGGTCTCTGCATTTTCTTTTCTGTCCTACTTGCAGTGCTCGGTCAGTGTAGCGATGCTGGGTAGTTGCCAAGGAAGAGGAGTAAAGATGAGCTTACCCCGGCTTCTTTGGCCGAGGCGCGATCCATGGAACGAGATCCCTCCAATGACGGTCTCGGCAGCCTCCAGTGACCAGTGATGGTGTAATGTTTGGCAGACTCTTACAGCATCGAACTTCCAAGAATCTTTTCTTATCTGTCTTCTTCATTAACACTCATCTCCAGCCATGATCCTTGCCAGATGTGCGGATCGAACTCCGGAGTTGATGTTCTTGGCAGGCTTTTCCTGTTGGTTGCGTTGCTAATTCCCCACGCTGGGTCATGAATCTCTCTGTTGCACGGAATCTTGTGAGCACACGAGCCATCCACTTATAAGTCCTCGTATTATCGTGTGTCAACGTCTTCTTCCAGGGGGCTGTTCTCCAGCTTACTCCAATGCGTCACTCGTATCTCTCTGGACTTTCTCTGGGCGGGAATGGTAGTACTTTTGCACAATTCTGTGGAGCTTCCGAAACAATGACATTCCGGAGGCTGAGGTACAGTGCAGCGAGCGGGCTGCATATCCACTCATGATCAATGCATTCCAGAACATCCTGTAGATTCCAGTGATCTGCCAAGCCTTTCAACGTTTGATGATCCGTGCTATTTCGAACAACCCCTTGCAATGACACCAGCTTTGGACGAGAGTCTGACTCAGGAACGAATCGGCTCGAGTCAAGGGATGGCTGGTCAACACAAAAGGGGGAATGCTTGTGGATCACCGTCAAAGGATAGAAGAGGTTTTCGGACTAGATTCAAAATCCGTTCTCAAGAAGGAATTGCCTGTTTGAGTAACCCGTGAAAAGTCCGACCATGGATTAGGTGTGTGATCTGAGTTCCGTGCTTTATTTATAGCCCGTCCAGCAGGCGTTTAGGATTTGGCAATTCGTATATTGGATTCAATGTTAGCCGTTTTGAGATGCGACTGGACCCCTGAGCTCGTATCTCTCAAGGCATCCGCACCTTGAGTTCATGCTACAGATGAACATATTCAAGAAATGGCTTTGCTAGCATGGAGACATGCATGTCGCCTTGGGTCTTCTGTTCGTCAGTAGCCGACCAATTTCCTTCTTCCATCATGATTGTAGTTGACACTGGTAACAGATTTCCACCCAGTTTTTCAATGGGCAAACCAGCATCGGATTTATAGCTCAGACATCTGAACTTGGGATAGAGAGACACGTGCTTTCATAATCGGCTTGCTGGGGCATGTACAGCATAATGCAGAACCTAGAGGGGAAAAGGGTTTGGAGATTCGAGGAGGAGCTCCAAACCTGCTAGTCATGGCCTAGTTCGCTCAGAGTCATTGCGCTGAAGTAGAACTCAAGTCCGGACGATACCGCCACATCCTATGCGTAAATACGCAGAAAGTGAGTTGGGCCATTATCAACGGCTGTGATCGGGCTTGATTGCTCCCCGAGCTAGTTGAAGCCGACGGCTTCTTCCCGATACAATCGCGAACTTGGCGTGGCAAAACATGCCGTACATTGTGCATTAAGCAATCCCGGCAATCCCGGCTGCTGCAGCACCAGGTCCAATGCTCCCATTGGCATTCCCGAAGTCTAGTTTCATGAGAAGCCGATCAACGCCGGCTGCCTTCCGGGGAACGTAGTGTAGAAAGCCGGGCTCGGCATCGAGTGACCGATACGACCAGTCATCACCTTTGTCCTTGATCGTGTCAAACAATTGTCGCCCTTCGCCAAATCGGTTGTCATCTATGTCTTGAAGGCGTAGGATAACATCTCTGATCCCACCTTCGACACCAAGCCGTGCAGCTTGGAGTGCCTGCCACACTTCCCGTTCCTCTCCTGCGTAGTCTACTGAAGAGTCGATCACCCCTTCGTCTGTCTCTAGGTCCATATGGCGTTGTATGCCTTCTAGGCGCACCACAAGCGCAATAAAGTGCTCGATGCCTGTGAGCAGGAACCTCAGCGCCTTCGTGAATGGCACGTCTGTCAGGAAAAGAGCTTCAGCTAGAGTGAAAAGATACCGACGATGGGCAGCAGTTATAGTTTCCGGATCATGCCGTCTGAGGCCCTGACTATCGCGGTTGGAGCTCGAATCTGACGCCCGGGAAGCTGTAAGGGGCCCACTAGCCTGTTTGCTTCTCGCCGATGATGCTGTTCCAGGTCGGGAGCCTGTAGCATATGTCGATTGTGATGTGCCGCCCTCAATCCATTGTTGGAAGTGTTGCCATGATTCGTTGATGATCTCTCCCTGAAAATAGCTTCCGATCTCGGAGAGCACAAAGAGCGAGCCACTACACGTTGCCCAAACTGTCCTCATCTGCCGGAGTCTGGCGTTGTCCCTCCGTCTCCCTTCATTAAGCCTGTTCTGACCATAGGGAGTATTGCTGCGAGGAGGCCCCCAGGGCGAAGGATAGCATCTCCGGAGAGAGGTGTGTTTCCAAAGGTCACCAAGGTGAATATGAGCGCGACGGATACCTAAAAGGAATGAGTGGATCTTCGAGTACACAGACGTATCAGAGGCGGAAAGGAACAAATCGAGAGGAGGGTTGACTTGCACCGAAAGCTTCGTTGCGATGGGAAACAGGAGATCGTCGAATTTTATCGTGGACAACTTGATACCTGAGTGAACTTCGTTCGCAACTTGAGACAACGCCTCTTCTCCATCATCCCTGTGCTCATCAATTGTCAAACGTAGCAAGGACTTTGCGTGGTCAAGTTCATCATCTGCAGGATCCTCCTCATTCTGCAAAGCGTAGAGCTCTGTCAAGGTCTGGGCCAAGGTTGCCATCACGTCGACCTCTTTGATAGATGTGCCTCCAAGCTCAGCCATCGGTTTACTCTTGGATCTCGAGTTCGCATTTTTCTGTCGCTTGTCATGTAGACGAGAGTCTGCATGCGAAACAAGCGCTGTTGCGAATTCTCCACGTCCGAGTAGCAAGAAATTATGTAAGACTGACAACGTTTCAAGGATCTTAGCTGTCGGCAGAAGGGCTGAGAGCGTGCTTTGAGACAAAGAAAGCCGTATAGATACAACAACAGTGGAGATCATGGTTGCCGTCATGGGTGACTTCAGAGCAGCAAGATGCTTAATATGCTCTTCCCGTAGCGTGACCGGGGACGTAGAAAGACCGGTATCGTTCAAAGTACCCCGTTTCGCTCGAATTAGATTCAATGTCTTGCCAATAAAGAGGATAGATGATGCTGTCTGGGGTAGCACAAATTGGGGTAAAAGCTCCGAATGTAGTTCAAAATTTGCCGCATCGGCTTCCTGGATAAAGAAGTCGGTTTTCCCGAGGATTGGGAGGTTGCCATACAGTAACCACGTCGATAATTGCCGGATCCAAGCAGTCTCCGCAGTGCTAACCAGGTGAAGCGCAATCTCCCTCACGTCGGCATAACCCGTTTGCAGTTCCGCTCGAAGGTGGTCCATCAGGGCTGCGCCACTGCATGTTGGGCCGGTCCCTTTCGTGTTTGCAAGCTGTAAATACCTTATCACCTGCCACATCCATTCCAGTCGCCGAGTCCAGGGCGCAAATTCTCCGACGATTGTGGACAGCGGCACAATGCCGTAACCACCCACATACGCACTGTCTTCGACCAAGATCGCCTTTTCCACCTCTAATATTTTTTTCTGAAACCCCCCGAGATGTTGCGAACTGATAGCCGTTGAGACTGCCCGACAAATGACGGAATCGTGGGAAGCCGATATCAATCCTGTACTGTGTCGCAATTTGGCATGGAGACGGCTTAAATGGGCCAGTGAGGCGAGGAGGGCCTTTTCCGGGGCAGAGACGAGAGGGAAGGCATCTTCAGCGACAACAGGTTCTTCACTCTGCGGATTGAAAAGAGGCGACGGCTGGCCTGAGAGGCAGAGGAGGATTTCGTGGAGCATTGTGGTGGTAATTCCCTGGGCGGACTCAAACTCGAGGTCAGACAGTGATTAACGCAGATGCCAAGAGAGCGCAAATGAACCTCAAGGCGAGATCTCTATCTCGTTTAGACTTCTGACGTTGCCAATATAGAATTGAACGTCCCAAGATCTCAAAGCGACACATGTATAGGCGCGTGGCATTGAGTCGTGGCTATAAGCAAGCAAGCCTCTTTGCTAGCCCCTCTCCCTATATCGCGGCGCGTCGCGAGCTCTGCGGAGGGAGATGATAGCGGCAATGCATAGAACAAATGCAAATGAGGTACCAGCCTATTACTCCAATCAAGGACAGAGGGCAGAGTGTATCTTAGTTTGTTTCAGCCTCTCTCAGCACAGGCATGATGGAAGAGTTGATCAAAGAGTCCAAGTGTCAAAGACCATATGGGGGGACGCATCAACAAAGCAATTGAAGTTAAGTGCCTGGCAACCTCCGGTCGGGACGGACCCTTCTTTCCGCCTTCCTCAGTTCCGTCCCCAACGGTGGTGCTGGCCAGTGTCCGCGGGGCTCTAGCCAATTACAGCATCAGAGCTGGCTGAGTCAGCACTATCGACAGCTTGTCCCTCTCTTACGTCGCCGCCGAGGGAAGTCGTAGCATTAGTGATCCATCTTTCTCCTCTTCTCTGTCTACCCAACTCTTTCTTTGCTTTGGACCTTTTTTCATTCTCAATATCTTTCCTACTCTTCCCATCCGCTCAAAGTCTCATCTCCTCTTCGTCCCCCCCCTGTTGTCGTTACGTCCTCCCCAACCCAAAAACTTCCTCGACTCTACCCGCCTTTACCCCTCCTCCGTGACTTGCAGTGCGAGCTGTAGGCCCAATTCATCCTGATTAGAAAGTCTTGCTCCCGTGGCAAGACTTTCCTTTGAGAACTTTCACAATTTCCTCCGAACTTCCCGTTCGTGACGCTGCGAAGCCTGGAAAGCGCAGAGCGTCTGTTGATAACAAAGCTCCGCCGGAGAAGAAGATCATGACTGTATGTCTTCTCGATACTCACTGCCCCACTCAATCTCCGACTACTAATCGACCATAGGACTCCAAGATGCAAATCGACAACCCACAGGAAACTGTGGAGTTGATCAAGCAGGGAGAGATCGATGAATCTCTGTACAGCCGGCAACTGTAAGTACAACCTGGTTTTTGCTTTCGGTGGTTGATGAGACACTGATAGTTGGTCGTCCGGTCTAGGTATGTCCTCGGCCATGAAGCTATGAAGCGTATGGGCTCGTCGAATGTCCTGGTTGTTGGTTTGAAGGGCCTGGGTGTTGAGATTGGTAAGCACCACCCACGTTTGGGCAAGAATGGGAGCACACTTGACTGACAGCTTTTTAGCTAAGAACATCGCTCTTGCTGGTGTCAAGTCCCTCACTCTGTACGATCCTGCACCGGTTGCCATCTCAGACCTCTCTTCCCAGTTTTTCCTCCAGCCCCAAGATGTCGGCAAGCCTCGTGCCGAGGTGACAGCGCCGAGAGTTGCGGAATTGAACTCCTATGTCCCGGTCACAGTTCATGAAGGCGCCAGCCTAGTTAACGACCTGGAACAGCTGAAACGCTACCAAGCGATTGTCCTTACCCTGACCCCACTGAAAGAACAGCTCGCCATCGCCGACTTCTGTCACAAGAACGGTATCTACCTCACTATCACGGATACTTTCGGTCTTTTCGGTTATCTGTTCAACGACTTCGGAAAGAACTTCACGGTCGGCGATGCTACGGGCGAGGAGCCACTTAGCGGAATTGTGGCCAGTATCGATGAGGAAGGCTTGGTATCGGCGTTGGATGAGACCCGACACGGCTTGGAAGATGGTGATTTCGTGACTTTCTCAGAAGTCAAAGGAATGGAGGGCCTGAACGGGTGTGCTCCTCGCAAGGTCACCGTCAAGGGCCCCTATACTTTCTCCATCGGAGACGTGTCTGAATTCGGAACATACGAAGCTGGTGGTATTTATACTCAGGTCAAGATGCCAAAGTTCATGGACTTCGCACCGCTCGAGGAACAGCTCAAGAAGCCCGAAGTTATGGTGTCGGATTTCGCGAAGTTCGATCGCCCGCTGCAGCTCCACGTTGGAGTGCAAGCATTACACAAGTTTGCAGAAGGTCATGGCGGTGAACTTCCTCGTCCTCACAACGACAGTGATGCTCAAGAGGTGCTGAAAATTGCCAACGACTTATCGTCTAATCTGGAGGAGAAGGTGGAGTTGGACGAGAAGCTCCTCAAGGAGCTCAGCTACCAAGCCCGCGGTGACTTGAACCCGCTGGCCGCACTCTTCGGAGGTCTCGCCGCGCAGGAGGTGTTGAAGGCTGTCTCCGGCAAATTCAACCCTGTCTATCAGTGGCTGTACTTTGACTCACTGGAGTCTCTTCCGACTTCCGTCACGCGCTCTGAAGAGGCCTGCAAGCCCCTGGGCACTCGCTACGACGGCCAGATTGCCGTTTTTGGCAAGGAGTTTCAGGAAAAGATCTCCAACGTCACTCAGTTCCTGGTTGGTTCTGGTGCCATTGGCTGCGAGACCCTGAAGAACTGGGCCATGATGGGCCTGGGAACCGGTCCCAAGGGAAAGATCTACGTCACGGACATGGACCAGATCGAGAAGAGCAACCTCAACCGGCAATTCTTGTTCCGCTCCAGAGACGTCGGCAAGCTCAAGAGTGAATGTGCCTCTGCCGCTGTGGAGGCAATGAACCCCGAGCTCAAGGGTAAGATTGTCACTCTTCGCGATCGCGTAGGCTCTGATACCGAGCACATCTTCAACGAAGAGTTCTGGGAGCGCTTGGACGGTGTCACCAATGCTCTGGACAATGTTGACGCGAGAACTTATGTCGATCGCCGATGTGTCTTCTTCAGAAAGCCATTGCTCGAAAGCGGCACTCTAGGTACCAAGGGCAACACTCAAGTCGTGCTTCCTCGTATCACCGAGTCCTATTCAAGCTCCCAGGACCCCCCCGAGAAGACCTTCCCCATGTGTACCCTGAAAAGTTTCCCCAACCGCATTGAGCACACTATTGCTTGGGCTCGGGACCTCTTCCAGACGTACTTTGTTGGTCCTCCGGAAGCTGTCAACATGTATCTGTCGCAGCCCAACTACATTGAGCAAACTCTCAAGCAGGCTGGCAACGAGAAGCAGACTCTGGAGCATTTGCGTGATTTCCTGGTGACGGATAAGCCGTTGACCTTCGATGACTGCATCGTCTGGGCCCGCCAGCAATTCGAGGCTCAGTACAACAACGCCATCCAGCAGCTCCTATATAACTTCCCCAAGGATTCCAAGACCTCTACTGGGCAACCGTTCTGGTCTGGACCCAAGCGGGCTCCTACTCCCCTCAAGTTCGACAGCACCAACCCCACTCATCTTTCTTTCGTCATTGCTGGAGCCAACCTTCATGCCTTCAACTACGGCATCAAGAACCCCGGTGCAGACAAGGGCTACTACAAGAAGATTGTTGATAACATGATTATTCCTGAGTTCACACCCAAGTCCGGCGTCAAAATCCAGGCTAACGAGAACGACCCGGACCCGGATGCTCCTGCATCTGGCTCTTCTTTCGATGATGGGCAAGAAATCAAAAAGCTCGTTGACTCGCTTCCATCTCCCAAGACTCTCGCTGGCTTCCGCCTGAACCCAGTCGAGTTTGAGAAGGACGACGACACCAACCACCACATTGACTTCATCACTGCGGCTAGTAACCTGCGCGCCGACAACTACGAGATCCCCCAGGCCGACCGTCACAAGACGAAGTTCATTGCTGGCAAGATCATTCCTGCTATTGCCACAACTACCGCCCTGGTGACCGGATTGGTTGCCCTTGAATTGTACAAGATTATCGACGGTAAGGACGACATTGAACAGTACAAGAACGGCTTCGTCAATCTGGCGCTGCCCTTCCTTGGATTCAGTGAACCCATTGCCAGTCCGAAGGGCAAGTACCAGGGCAAGCAGGGTGAGGTCGTGATTGACCAGATTTGGGACCGCTTTGAGTTGGATGATATTCCGCTCCAGGACTTCATCAAGCATTTCTCCGAACTGGGTCTGGAGATCAGTATGGTTAGCTCTGGTGTTAGTCTTCTGTACGCCAGCTTCTACCCGCCGTCCAAGCTTAAGGACCGTCTTCCTCTGAAGTAAGTTTCCTCACAAGCGCACTCTGCACGCGCCCCTCCGGGGACTTTGAAAATGATACTAATCAAAGATGCAATAGGATGAGTAAGTTGGTTGAGCACATTAGCAAGAAGCCTGTTCCGGAGCACCAGAAGAACATCATTTTCGAGGTGACGGCGGAAGATACGACTGAGGAGGATGTTGAGATTCCGTATGTGATGGTGAAGTTGAGGAAGTAGGCAGGCAAGGCAAGGCAATAGTCATCTTGCCGAGGTTCTTGGTATAGAATGATTATGCTGGGATGAACGTAGACAAACGTTATGTAAGTAGAAGCAATGCTATAACTTTCCTTGACATGGTGGGTGCAATGAGTGATTTGTTTGTTGTTAGTAAAAAACCTCAGTTTCTCGTAATAATCACTATGTAGTTAACTTGGGTGTTTGTGCTGAGCTAAATGTTTGTCATGGGAGGAAAAGACAAAGACGGATGACTGGCGCATCAGTAAGCATTTGATAACGTCATCTCCACCCACCCCGCATTGCCCCTCAGCAAGTGGCCTCGAGCTCGTATTCAATTTCTCAACGGATCCTGCCAGCTTGTTCTTTTGTTTCACGACTGACTATAAAGCTCCCAATTGTCCCCGACTTGTTGAGCTCTGTTCGCTCATGTTCAAAGCATTGCCTCGTATCCGCCAGCTATCGCAGCATTTCGTGCAACCCAGACTCTCCGCGGGGTTCTCCAAATTGTCCACCTCCGGCCTCTCCGCACCATCATATCTCGTATCATCAACGCGCACCATGGCGGTAGGGAACAGCCTTGTCTTGCTTGATTCGCGGATATTTGGACTTTCCCACTCACTCTTCGATCTCGATTGATAGACCAACAAGATCACCGATTGGGTCAATCCCGCTGACAAGTCCGGCGAATTCAAGCGTCAAACGTCGGCGTTCCGCAACTTCATCTCCAGCAAGCCCGGTGCTGAATTCCCTCCCGAGAAGGGCCGCTATCACCTTTACGTCTCATACGCCTGTCCCTGGGGTGAGTTTTTTGATCGATGCAAACTTTGCCAGTCATTCAGCATCCAATTAATCATGATCCTTTTCTGTCTTTTGCAGCCCACCGCACCTTGATCACCCGCAAGCTCAAGGGTCTCGAGGACTTCATCTCCTTCACTTCCGTGCACTGGCACCTGGGCGAGAAAGGTATGTCCCGTTCCTCTCCCAACATTTATGGTTAAATCCGATAATACTCACGCCCCGCATCACAATAGGATGGCGCTTCGCCACCGCGGAGGAGCAAGAGCCCTCGCAGAACGTCACCTCGGACCCCAACCACCCGGAATTTACGCACCTGCGCGAGATCTACTTCGCCGAAGACCCCGACTACAGCGCGCGCTTCACCGTTCCGGTCCTGTATGACAAGAAGACCAAGCGCATCGTGAGCAACGAGGTACGCGTTCTTCTGCCCCCCTCAACCAAACCCCCCAAGCCCAAGCCACCTCAAAAACTAACACCCCGGAAAACAGAGCGCCGAAATCATCCGCATGCTCTACCACGAATTCGATCCCCTGCTCCCCGAACACCACCGCAGCATCGACCCCTACCCGACGGACCTGCAATCCGCGATCGACACCTCCAACGACTGGATCTATAACGATGTCAACAACGGCGTCTACAAGTCCGGCTTCGCCACGACCCAGGAAGCGTACGAGAAGGCCGTGACGCAGCTCTTCGCCTCGCTGGACCGGATCGAGGAGCACCTGACGACCCAGACCAAGAAGGGGCCGTATTTCTTCGGCGACCGCATCACCGAGGCCGACATCCGGCTGTTCACGACCATCGTGCGCTTCGACCCCGTCTACGTGCAGCACTTCAAGTGCAACATCCGCGACATCCGGTCCGGGTACCCCGCCATCCACCGGTGGTTGCGCACGCTCTACTGGGAGGTGCCTGCGTTCCGCGACACGACCAACTTCGAGCATATCAAGAAGCACTATACCAAGAGCCATAAGCAGATCAACCCCTTCGGGATCACGCCGGTGGGGCCGGTGCCGGATGTGTTGCCGTTGGAGGAGGAGGTGCGGGCTGTTGTTTAGGGTTTTAGTGGGAAAGGGTCCATGGGGGCGAGGGAAGGGAATGTTGATTAAAAATGTCGGTGGTGGACGTCCAGGCGGTATTGTTATTTGGACCGCATTGAGACAGTTGCTAAGAAGGATGATTACCAAATAATTTTTAGAACCAATTTATGAACTATACTCAATGAGCTAAATGTACTGTACCTTTCTATCATCATCCCCATTTTTTGTAATGGGAGGGAAAAGTTTTTACATACAAAGTGGACAAATGACCAAGGCAACAAAAAGCTTAAAAGCTAGCATGGACATCCAATATCTCTCCCTGAAAATATTATCAGGGAAACTTCCCCATTATACAAAGCTGGAGGCTAGGGGAGCAGCAAAAAAGAAAAAGATTCGAAACTGAAAAAAAAACTCCGTAACATGCTCTACCGCTCAACACCTTCCATGCTAAGGGAAAGGTCGGGCATGCGACTCTTCCAAACAATTGGGTCATCCAGTCTGCAATATGGCTTTTGTGGTTGCCATATGCGAATGACATAAAATCAAAACAGTAAAGCCTTCGAGGGTTTCGGGACGGGAGACTGCGGGAAGAGGACGACACCCCCGTCTATGCATAGCTAGAGGTTTCGACGATCGCGCATTCCCACCGCCCGAACAGAGCGAACAACGGTGGCCGTCCGGGCCACTGGCTTTTCTAGGGTATCTCGGAAAATGAATTCTAAAAATCGAGCAAGGTAAAACGAAACGCGGTGGGCGGCCTGAGGAGGGAGGGCGATGGGCGAGGCCATTCATGCTTCGCTTCGAGGCCCTTACCTCAACCCCAAAGCTCGCTTAGCATTCTCGTAGACAACGTAACTAATCGAAACTGCAGGTGCAACCTTGAGGAGGTTAGGCGTGAGTCCTTTGTAGAGGCCACGGAAGCCTTCTGCTTGGATGGTCTTGCGAGCGACATCGAAGATGCCAGTATATGTGGTGGGATGAAGAATAGTGCCTTGAGCCTGTAATCTTGTTCGAAGCACGTTTAGAGGGTAGACCATGGAGGCACTGAAGCCTCCGCTCGTGGCGCCGATCGCTCCGGTGGTGAAATTGTTCAGCGGGACATCGTCTTCATGGCAATTGTGAAGCCGTGCCTTGCGTGCTATAAGGGCCCGCTTCATGTATTCAAATGTCGTCAAATCTATGGCAGCGTAGGGAAACATTCCCACAAGGCCCAGCGGCAGACCACGGAAAAAGCCGAAAATCCCATGCTTGTTCCAGACCTTCTTGGCTGTAGCTGCAATGAGCTGGTTGCCTCGCGGACCACCTTCAACAGTTGAGCATTGCATCCGACTGGGAACAGTATTAGCCGTACAGACATCTAATCACACGGAATCAAAGTGGGCACCTACAATTTGAGAGTATCGAGAGGGTAGACGAAGCACCTGTAAAATTGTTAGATGTCAAACGTATGGTTAAACTTGTGGTGCAACATACTGTGCAACCATTCCACCACAGCCTCCAGACAAGAACTGGGAAGTTGGCTTCAGTTGCTTCGTATCATTGTGGCCCTCAAGGCGGGCAAAAGCGCGTTTGGCCGACTGCATTTTTGTTAGCATTATCAGAGAACGACTCGGACAGGGAGGAGGCATTTACCTCGTAGGCGCCAAATTTGATGGCTGACTCGGGCATGACCTTGACTACATTCAAGCCGTTGCCTTCGACATTTAGCATTGCTTCGGAACACGGGGGCGCGTCCAAATCATACCTGCAAACAAACTCCGAAGACCTCCCGCACGCCATAGTTCTTTGACAGCCTCGGCAAGTGTTTTGGATGCCTGCCCCGCTGCAAGTATCGGAGCCCCATCCTTGGCCGCGCGCACTGCGGACTGCTTCACACCAGTCTGAGCGATAAGGTAGACTTTGAGTCGATCAAGAGGAGCAGTGGCTGTCCGTGACACGGCTCCTGCGATTCCGCCCGCGAGGAAATAGCCTAGTTGAGGAGTGTTCTCGGTTAACTTCTTTTCATAATATCGAAAGGACATCCACATGGCGACGGTCCTGGGTATGGGCAGCCACTCCAGCTCCAAATCGGCATCTGACGGTACGGAAGCAGTCTCGAATGCGAATCCGGGCTCTGGTACTCCGCCGATTTCCGCATAGGCTGAGGGGAGAAGGCTGGCCAAGAGATGCACTGGGGAGATATGGTGCAAGAGGTTTTTGATGGCCAAGATATAACATCTAAGAAACGAGAGGTCTGTACCTAAACCCTGCAGATCATTGATGTGGACATCTCCTTCCGGGTTTAGATTGCCCGTGGCCGTGTAGTATGACAAGACGGAGCGTAGGTTGGAGGACGAGTAGGCGGGTAGGAAGAGCAGGAAATCCCTAAATAACAGAATCATCATTAGCTGGAAACCCCCGGGGCTTTCTTCAGCTGACCGCCATTAGGTAGGCATACCTCCACTCCGCATAAGAGATGACGCCATCCTTGTTCCTGTCGACCTCCGCAAAGAATTCTTCCAACTTGGCGTTCGAGACCGTTACCCCGGATCTCGCGAAGGCAGTCTTGAGCTCATTCTTGTCGATTTCGCCGTTGTGGTTGTGGTCGATGCTCTCGAATAGCTGCCATAATCCGAGCTCAGTGTGGTCGACAAAGGCGCGGAACTCTGATGATAATTAGGTTGGAAAAACGCCGGGCGGTTCAAGCCAGTTGCCCGGAGAAAGACAATAGACCGTTGGAAAGGCATGCGCGTGATCTTACCAGGATAATCTATATAGCCATCTCCGTTGGTATCGACCGCCTTGATGATACTGCGCAGCATGCTGTCTGCATTCTTGAGAGCTGTGGTTTTGACGTACGGAGGTCGGTCACCTGCAGCAGAAGCACGGGATCGGGTCATAGGAGGTGAAGCTTACGGTGATCAATCTTTTTAAACCCCTTTTTCAGACCATGAAAATCAAGATGACCTTCTCCCTTAGTGTCCAGGCGCTTCCATAGTCGGTCGACTCGCTGGTCACGATCCGATTTTGACTCGCCGTTATCCATGTTCGGTTATTCGAGAGATTATCGGAACTCCGTCATTATTTTTTCAATGAGGGGTCACGGGGGCTAGTGATAATAATTCGGAGCCCTGTCGCAACAGGGTAGAGAGAGATTTTGACGATAATTCTAGCATCGAAGTCGCAAAAGCTAGATAGATGTGGGGTAGAGCGGAGATTTGGGAGGGTGGTTTGGCTTATGAAGAGGAGGAGGGAGATAAAGTGACAGACATTGTTTTCTGCGCAGGAGCCGATCGATAGCCGTGAGAAATCGAGCCGCGATGATTTGCTTTTCACTTTCTCTCACAGTTTGCTGGTTACCGCGCGACAAGGCCGGAAGAAAACTAGACCCCGGCCCGGTGTCTCACGGGACTAAAGGGGGAGAGGGAAGGTAACCTGTTTGGGAAGCGTTTCTCTCCGATGGTCACCTGCCAGATGAACTACTAATCAATCTCATCGTGACTCTTCCGCCTTAGTCACATACTATTTGCAAATGTCACTTTTCCAATACTCAGATTCAATGAGTTGAAACAATTGAGAATTTGCACAAGGCAAAGGACTTGCGATCCTGTTCTCATAAGCTGCCCTTAACCCGGTGGTAGACCAACCTAGACGGGGTCCATAAAACCCCCCAACCACGCACGATCCATCCAGACCGGTACATAGTTCCTGCCGAGAATGCCCCATCGATGACAGCACTAGATACTTGACCTCAACTTTGGCATATCGAACACTGAGGCCAATTATCTTATTTCCTTGTCATCATGGCCGCCAATTACTGGGCATCGACCCAACGACGACACTGGCTGTTTACGCGTGAGAAGCTGGCGGAGATCCGCGAAAGCTTCAAGGAGAAAGACAAAGTCGCTCATTCGCAGTTTCCTTTGCCGGATCAAAGGCTGCTCAACATTTATTTCAGCCAGCGTAAGGCCCTCTACCATCCGGTTTGTTAGCAGGACTTCAACTAAACATTGGCACAGAGTTGATCAAGCTTGGCAAGAGAATGTCCACGCGACAACAAGCGCTAGCCACCGCGCAAGTATACGTCAAACGCTTTTATACTAAAAATGAGATCCGGCACACGAATCCCTACCTGGTCGTGACCACTGCGTTCTATCTCGCTTGTAAAATGGAGGAGTGCCCTCAACATATCCGCTTTGTTGTTGGGGAAGCCCGGGGTCTCTGGCCAGGTACGAATCATCCCCTATTGGCTCATCCTTGTAACTCGCTGATGCTTGCGCAGAATTCATTGCCCCAGATGTATCGAAGCTGGGCGAGTGCGAGTTTTCTCTCATCTCCGAGATGAGCTCGCAGCTCATCGTCCATCACCCCTATCGAACCTTATCCGAACTCCAGCCGGAGCTATCGCTTACGTCGGACGAGGTAGCACTTGCCTGGTCAGTGATCAACGACCACTATCTGACCGACTTGCCACTTTTGTACCCACCGCATATCATCGCCGTCATGGCGATCATTGTTGCCGTTGTTTTTAAGCCAAGCCAGACCAGTTTTCACGGGTCCGCCGCGCCATTGGCTGGAGCGATGCGGGATGGGGGCTTGAATATCCTGGCGGCATTGAGTGATAAAAATGGTAGTGGTCCTCCGGCACGGATTCAGAGGCTAGTCGCATGGCTAGCTGAGAGTGAGATCGACATCAAAGCAGTCATCGAGTGCACGCAAGAGCTAGTCTCGCTTTACGAAATATGGGAGCAGTACAGTGAGAAGCATTGCAAGGAATTGCTGGGTCGTATGGTTAAAACCAAGAACCTTGACAAGTGAGGTTGGGCTTGACTCGAATGATGTGTTTGTACCCCGCAATGAAAACAAGTCCTAAGCCTCGTTTGTGCAACGTTCCCGGACGGCAGGCTTGCCACACCTTGCATCATAGCCATGGAAGCAGAAGCTATTGCTCTAGGTAGTTCTGACCTAGGTGCTGCGCCGTCGAGCGAATGGCGAAGCTAGAAGCCATCGAGTCATCGAAATATCTAATGGCTTGGAATATTCTGCATTGGTTTTGTAACACCCACGCCCCGGGCTCCCTTGACAGTGGCACCAATGTTACAGTATCAGGATTGAAAGCTCCGCCACTGACGGGGCAAGGCGGGCTATCTATCAAATTTAGGGCTCGATCAAGATGTCGTTGTGACACTCATCAAGCAACATTTAACCAACGAAGAAGTGATCGATGTCTAGGTACATAATTTCCAGCATCTAAGCAAAACGATTGACATCCCTCCTCTGCATACACACAACATCTTTCCATACTTACATCGCACACCACAGAGCAACATACGATACTCACTGAGGTTAAGAAACACCCAGAGCGCCTATGAATTTATACATGGCAGTAGACATTTTTGTCAGGCGCTTCTGGCCGGTACGATATACATAGACTTATCTACAATCCGCGGAACGCATTTACTTCTTACTCCTTTAAGAATGAGATGGACCTGAAACTCACACATGAACATCAAAATAACTCATATCTACTCCGTACACATGAAATCAACTCACAGTACCTACAAACCCCACCTGATTCTCAGACGGCAGCCTCGCCACTTTTCCCTAAGGAACAACTGCCCTCACCCGAAAGACAACACAACTAAAGTCGCATCTGCACCGAACCCAAAGTAGAACTGCAGCTTTGGGGGGGGGGGGAATCAACGAGCCCACAGAAAGCCAACGGCTGATACTTTTACCTGCAGGCTGCCGAGGCTTCCCCTGGTTCTTTGTATCGGTTTGAGGGCGGTGTTCTGCACGGGGTGAAGATTAGCAATGCTTGCTTTGGGTGTGTTGCTGCTTCGGGGATGGACGTCTGTGCCTGGGTTACAGAGTGCGGTTTGATATGGGACTGAGAAGGTGAGCGGAAGTTCTTTTAACTAGTAGTTGACATTATTTGCGTCTTCCAGGTCCTGATGTTGGTCACTGTGTTTGGGCTAGTGGTACTCTGTCTATGCTGCTTCAAGGACATTGTTGGAGAAGATGTATAGACAGAGTATATCCGGTTGGTAGGGGTGGCGGTACACGAGCTACATTCCCCTGCATAGAGATTTCTTATTTACCTATACATCACGGCCACTTGAAGTATTGACGAGATTCGTCAATCGTTGGTCAAAAGGGGAAGAGGCTCTGTTTAAAAAGCCGCATACTAGGATACACCTGCTTCCACTGTCCATGATAGAAGCAGACATGTCCAGCATAGCGTTAGTACCAGGATAACCCCAGCCAATCAATACAACATAGACAAAGAACCGATCGGGAAAAGAAAACAACCTTCATCCACGGACAAAGAATCTCCGACCTGTCGGTCCCAGCTAAGCTGCATCCATTCTTTCTTACCCTGGATCCTGGGTTTGAGTTGGAAGTGATCAATGGGAGAGCCAGATAGTCTAGATAGTGCATTCCGCATCTACAATTGCACCATCGATCTAGACCGTCGAGCCCTGTGGTCCGCAAAAATGGCCCGCCACACTATAATCACAATAAAGTAGTTCGCCTCTTCTGCTGCTGCTGCTGCGGCAGGTACTTGGGAGTACTGTACCTGCTTTAGTCCAGGTTCCTAAGACGAAGAACCCCGGGGACGAAAAAGCCGCTCGCACATAAATATGAGCATTGCAGGCTAAGCACGGTTTACGGGAAGCGTCTATATTCTAGTCTGCTGTAAGCACATGTGCACTAGTTAGTTATACATTTCATTGAATTATAGGCTGGCCTAGAGCAGTAAAATTCAACCAAAGGTCGGCGGATATCAATCAATCAGAGGGCTGCGGGGTGGGTAAGGGTCAGGGTCACAAATTTCGTTAACGAAAGCAGTCAGCAAACATTGTGAGCGCTTGCTGAGACCGACAGTAGCCAGTCCGTCGCAGGTGGTGAGATCGTGTATGTCTCATATCCCTTGCCTCAAAAGGTATGTAGGCTGATGTGTGTGTTGAATGTCGAGAAAAAAAAAGCTTCTCTTCCCCGCGCTGACGCACTCCGAGACTTGGACCTTGGGGGAAACCTGACCATAGAGCCTGAGATTCGATAGATAAGATAAATCGAGCAGAGAAACTCTCTCGCTCTCCCGTCTGTGGGGGACCGACTGGGATGGGCTGTGTATCGCTTGCATTGAGTCAGGGTGGCGAAGTACGTAGGTACAGTACTTCCGTGAGCCCTCTAATGAGACCCCTCTAATAGTGAGTGAATAGCCAGATACTCCGTACAATACATTCTTCTCTTGCGATGACATTCGAGTCAATCCCTGGGGTAAGGAAACTCTATTTCCAAAGCTAAGATGGATGTGGCTGCTTTTGCCCCCTTTCGAGCGTGGGGAGATTCGAGGGGATCGGGATCTCTCTTGCACAAGGTTGCAAGCGTCCGTACTGTGGCGATACGGCCTGACAATACTCGATACCAGTGATGACGGACTGTGGAGATACTGCTAAGTATTGAACTAGCTAAGTGAGTAGCGAGCCTCCCAAGGAGATCCATGATGCGTCTTTCCAGAGTCAACTCCGTACTCCGGAATCAACCTCCCCCCCCCCCCCCGCCTTCTGACGATTGCATAATCATCATCATCAATACTAACATTTATCATGAGATCATTACAAACAATATCACCATACAATTTTGCCTCCCAGTTTCTCTCAGTGGCCAACTCACAATTGATCTCCCATAATGGAACGGAGTAGACCATTCCGTCCCTTCGCAAGAACCATTACGAACAGGGCGGTGAAACAGCCGGGCCCTCAAACAATCCTCCAGACTCCAGAGGTGGGTAGGTGAGAGCATCAGAAAACCATGCTTGAGTACAACAAAAACTCAGTAGGAGAACTCAATACTATGCACGCGGGCCAGGTTTACCCCAATCGCTTTCTGACACCAATAGCTAACGCTGCCTAACAATGCGTGTTCTCTTCCCTGCAGAGCAGTTCAAGCAGGCTAAGTAGGCCGCCAGGGCCACCATTCCCATTCCATCCCCATCCCATCCTCCAGGAGCAAAAGTCCAGGCATGGCCGCACCACCCGACAACCTGCAGTAGGCTGCAGGCCCATGGGGCCATGCGGCATGAGCAGGGAGGAGCTGGTGAGCTTGCCAGCCTATCAGCTTACATCTTACCGTCCCATTTGTTTGCTGCTCATGGAGCCGGGCGCTGCAGTAGCCGCCTTCGGTTGCACTCAGTGCGTTTGTGTAGGTGTGTACTGTACGAGGTACTGTTCTCAAAAGCCAACAACCACTTTGAAGAGGGCCGGCTCTCTCCTGAAGTCTAAATGCTATGGGGTCAATGGCTCGGGGTCCGGATTGAATTCGAACGGGCGTTGGAACAGATGGCATCTCCCTTCAGCTGTTTGTTGGGAGAAGATGCTATTCATAGATAGGGGTGCATTATCCGTAGTACCTGTCCAACATGGGCTGGAAAGGGGTTTGTTGTGTACTCTGTACCTGGGTGTGTCTGTGCAGCAAAGCCATACTGTGGCTGTAGCGCTGTCCCCATGTGGACGGAAATAGAGCATTATTTTAGCAGCTTGGAGCTGCAACCAAACCCGATTCGAGATCTTACATGAGTAGATCTTAACGAATCGATGACAATTGATCAAGTAGCCCTCAACAAGTATTGTGGTTGGAATTGATGTGATTTGTACCGGTATCCTGATCTATTCACATCATCAGTGATTATGACAATCACTGTTCCTGGTATAACCAACTACGGGCGCAGCTACTGGTTACCTAGGAATTGGTTTGTTGACAAAACAAAACGTTCACTCTCCTAAACTGTGGTAAACATGACCTTTGGTTCATTCTTGGTTTATGATCAGTTAATAGAGGGGCACTTGCAATAGCACTATTATTGGGCGCTCAATTTTGGTGTGGGTGGAGCGTTGGACTATGGAGAAAGTCTCTGAGCATCATGTGGAGAGTCAGTTTTCATTATGGAATAATTGTCGAAGCCGCCGAAGGGTGGCCATGATCAATGGTTGGGACTTGGAAAACTCATGCGCGGCCCGCTCAGCCAGGAGGTGATGGGTTGATTTCCCTTAGTCAGTCGAACTCGCTCTTCTCCAAATCAATACTGGACTGTAATATAGAACAACAATTTTTCGTCAACCTTAGAGGGATTACCGTCTCCTCTCAAACACACTCCAAGATTTCAGACACCCCCAAACCCAAAAGGCACGGTTCAAGGGCAAAAAAGTGCGAATCAGTCTACTCCGTAGCTCATGCAGGGTGGGTCTCACCACACATACTGATGTTCAGTACGGAGTACACACGCCTTTGCAAATCATTACCCGCAGATGTCGTAGTGAGCATTTCTGTCTGTTTGCCAGCGCATGCCTGTCTTCGGAAGTGGAAACCACCACATACCGGCCCTTTTCCTTTTCGAGACGCCGATGGATTCAATACCTGACCGAATTACAGTTACAATGGATGACTATTGCCCCCCCCCCCCTGAATTCCTTCCCTCCAATAATGAACACTTGTACAAAGCCAGCAAGCAGTGATGGGTGCGAGTTGGCATCGCGATCTTGTATTTTCACTTGAAGATTCTGGCCATCGTCATCGTACATGCAATTGCGAGAGGAGAGACGATAGCCTGATCAATAATGGCCGAAGATCCCCCACCTTCTAGTTGTGAAGTTCAACGGTGCATCATACAACCCCAATGGTGGCCGCATCACTGCCGGTCCCGTCATCGTCATACCATTGTCGCATGTACTGTACGTAAGGGGATTTCAATAATACAACATACGGTACAGCCTTAAGAAACTCAAGAGATGGACCAGCCGAGCGACAGCCGCCGCCTGCACGACTGAAAAAGTAGTTACTGTTGAGGTGGAAGCGCTCTGGGGTCCCAGAGGTCCCAGATATTAGGCGTCGAGGTGATGTAGGATGTAGGTTTTAGGCTGAAAGAAGACTAGATCGGTTCTTATCAACGTCACTTTAACCCGCCTTAGCGGTCGATTACAGTGAGTAGAACATCGTCTCATTGGGTGATACCATCCAGTGGCTGCCATAAGCCCACCGAGAACGTCTCAAGCGGCGATAATTGGCTTTCGGGGGATTTGCCTTGCCACTGAGCATCGGTTGATGGGAGTCTGGTTGGTTGAACTTCCTGCCCTAAGGATGGTGCGTGACCTGGCTAGCGCCGACAGGTCTGAAACCATATGTAACCATTTCTTACCAGCTTACCATACTGACAATACCTTACTGCAGCGGCGAAAACCGAAATTATCAGGCTCGGCTCTCTCGAAGAGTCCAAGCCCTCTGCAGATCGACCGCTTCCAGGGACTGATTAACCACATTAACCACTGACTAGGGGAACTAGGGACTCGAATGAAGGAAGGAATACCTAGTAGTTCTTCCATCCGTTCCATCCTCATACAAGTCAGGTACGTACTAGGTAAGTTACCGCGCTTCCCTTGCGGGTCTCCACCAAACTTCCTTTCCTTTCCACTGGCTCAGCCCCTCTTGCTTTCCTCTCTGCGCTTTCTCCCTCTCTGGCTCTGGCTCTGGCTGTCTCTGACTGTCTCTTGTCTTTCTCGCCTTCGCCTCCCGTCCGCTCCGAGCGCCCGCTGCACTGCTCTTTTTCTCACTCTCTTTTCCACCTTTCTTGTCCCGCCCACCCATTGTTCACAGTCAATGATCGATTCCCCATCCCACAACCCAAACTAAGCGCGCAAATTCACACCACCGCCCCCTCCCCCCTCTCTCCACCTTCAGTCTCTCTTCTTATTCTTCCACTTCCACTTCCACTTCCATTTCGCATTTACTCTTCTTACCTCCCCCCTGTTCGCTTGCTTAATTCACATTCCCAATTCTCACTTCTGATCCGCTTCGCTCCTGTTCCCTTTCACCTTCACTACTGCTACTACTACTTGCACACATTCCATCCCAACTCTCTGTCATTCTTCTTCGCATACCCTATTCCCTTTTGGTTCATCTGGTTTGTTCGGAGTACTTGTTTGCGGGATTCCAGAGCGTCGACCCTTGTTTGTATCCACTTAAACAGCTTTGAGTCTACTTGTTCAACGATATAACGTCTCCGTGTCGTTCGCTCCATTATCTACTCATCATACCGTCAAGATGTCGACCTTCTTCTACAGCCACCAGCACCAGCACCAGCACCAGCACCAGCACCCTCATCACGGCGCTACCACCCACATGACGACCTCGAACAACCACCACGGCGGTCGCTCTCGTCGAGGACCCAAAATGACCGCGCAGAATGCCCAGCGCCAATTCCGCGGTGTCAAGAGTATGCGGGAGCTGGCCGAGGCCCCCGCTGTCACTGCTTTCCGTGCACGATTCGAGGCTGGACGCTCTTTCGACCTGGACGACGACCTGGAATTCTGTCCCGGGCTTCTTACAGAAGATGATGTATGTATTCGCCACTCCTGACGACCAGGCCCAATCCGTCGTATCTCGAGAACAGCCTATTGACAGGATCTCTCTTTCAGCTGCACTCGATCCACTCCGCATCTTCGGATCGCTCCTCACTCTCCAGTGGCTCTCCTGATTCGTCTCCTCTTCAGCATCAGATTCAGCCCGTGCAGCAAGTTACGCCTGCTATTTCGTTGTCTCCTGCGTCTACGAATGCCTATGTTCACTCAGGGGTTACCGGTAATCTCAATCACGTGAACTACCAACAGCCATCTGCCGTTCGCACCCGCAAAGTCATCCCGATCGTCAACCCCAACACCGGCATGACCTTGACGAGCCCGCCTACGTCAATCTCGCCTGCCTCGATGCAGAATGCTCAACGTCGGTGGTAAGAACCGTGTGTTGACATGTCGCCAGTCCACTGGCAATCGGGCCTACCTTCGCCCATGGCACGTTCTTCTTCGTTCGTCCGGCTTCTGCATTGTCGGGCTCCCTAACCGCGGGTTCTAATTCTTTCTTGCTTGTTTCTGCTCGACACGGCCATCGCATTCACGATCAAACCCAAATTCCCCCTTCTTCGCTTGACGATTGCAAAAACGCCAACGGCTAAACCAGTTATTCTCTGTATATACACCTTTTACCGATGACGACTTCGAACCCACTTATACCTAGACTCTGATGCTTTCGGCTTCTTGCGAGCGACGGCGCCTGCGATTCGATTTCTGCGTTTCATCACCAACGATACCTTGTTTTCCTCATCCGGTTAGGGAAAATCACCTGCTTTGCCTTTGTCCGCGACGATGTATAGAAAGCGCGGCAATTTCTGCCATTCAGGCGCTCATCTAGGTTCTGGAGTTGCTTTTGGATTTCTGGCGGCTATGCCAGACATGTTCAGCGGTCTTTTCATCTTATTTTTGGCTCGGTGTTTGTGCACAATTTTGGGTGGGACGGATTTTTTATCTCATGCTTTCAGGGATCTAGAAAGGCGGAAACGATATACGTCTGCATTGGGTTTTGTTGTGTTGCTTGGGATGTTTTGGTTGCTTGTGACTCATCTGTCATTTCTTTTCGTTTGGAAAATCTTTATGTAAATGGTTTTGGGGATGGTGACATGCGGTGCTTGTTGCTGTTTCAGGTCAACTGGCTGTGAAAATCCATGGACTGGATGTGGAGTTCTGAGGGACCTTTCGCCTTCGCAGCGAAGTCTAGACCGATGTTGCTTTCTTCTGTCGCCCGACGACGACTTTGTTTCACTTCTGTCTGCTTCCGCGTTGACTCGTTCGGATAATTCTGTACCTGGGGACTCCCGGCGAGTGTGATCCATATGCAGTGTATGATGTTTTTCCTGGGTGGTTTATCATCCATCGAGTTTCCTATGTCTATAACTTGTTGACCATGCGGGTAATGCCTATACATAGTTGTTCCATTAGTTTGGACTTGCGTAATCTCCACCATTTGCTCCAATGAGTGTCAATTCCTTCCCAGTATCATTTCTGCTAGATCATCCAGGCGGCAGCGTTATCTTTGTAGACTGTGAAGCTGACAAATGCAAGGATAGCGGCGTGGATCGCCAAATCACCGCATAGTGATGCTTTGATGTTGCAGGCAGAGATAGATCATGCCAGTACCATGGCTGGTGACAAGGCTCGACAGAGGTGATGTGAGCTCTTCCCTCCAGCTGTGGTGGCGGTGCCTCGGAAAATATATCCATGCGCGCCTCAAGCGAGCTCTTGGGTGAAAAGGTTTTGACGATGACATTCATTCACGGAGATGAGAAAAATATCATGTCAATTGGAAATGGCGACTATGGCGTCGCGACAACAAGGGATTCTTCTAAAACTTAAGAGTAAGAGAGCGTGTTGAGGGTGGGTGATGTCATAATCTTGATCTGCAGCAGCAAACATGGCAGACGCACCTCAACAACCCCCTAGAATAGAAGCTGCCTGGCCGGATCAAGGGATACTACTACGAGTACTCCGTACTGTACCTTACTACGGAGCTACCTAAAACACATACAGGAAACCTACTTGGTTCAAATTCCAACAATCTCAAGAGCTAAGCAGGTAAGAGGTAGCGAATGGACATACAACTCAGCGGTACATTCATAGAAGAGGTAGCATGGCCCTTTCAAACAGGACCTGTGCTAATCTTGTACTCCACGCCGGTCAACGGCAACAGGCCTCCAGTGGAGAGAAAACCCGCATGTGCTATCCATGACGTCACCTTGCAACGCGAATGCGACTTTTCGTCTTGACCACTCACTGCAGCAACAACTTACTTCAGCGAATAATGGAGTCATTCTCTGGCTGGACCGACGTCGACGTAGATACCTTTTACCCTTTACCCGAGGCAGAACGGAAATTGCAATTTGCTGTTTAAAAAGCTCCCCCCTCCATCCCTCCTGCATTGTTTCCAAGTTCGCTGTTACTGTCCTACATCTACTTTTCCATCCACTGAGATAGCTTCTATTACTACCCATCCATATCATCTTTTTACTGGGCTACTCAATTGAACAAAGGTAAGCACCTCGGACTCTCAGCGCTGGTGTCATTGACATCATCCCTGTTGTATCGCCTTAATTTCCACCTCGCCATCAACACTACCCGTTCACTTCCATCAACCTTCACCCATCCCATCACCACCACCACCGCCAACCCAACAGCTACAACAGCACTAAAAAAACGAAAAATAAGAAAGGCCACTAACAACAATACCCCAGAGCAATCTTAAATCAACATCATCAACATCATGTCTTTCCTCACCACCGTCCGCACAACCCTTGCCCCTCGTCTGGCCACCCCCCTCCGCCCCGCCATGACCTCCGCTCTGCACACCTCCGCCCCCCGCGCTGGCCTCAACGAGAGCGATCGCAGTGAGTTTCCCCCAATTGCCTGCCCCTAATCCCAACTCAAACCCCAAACCACTGACACCCAAGTCTACAGACCGCGATGACCTCGACAAGATCTACGAAGAGCACAAGAACGACCAACTCAAGCACAGCAAGCAGGGTACCGCCAAGTGGAAGCAGGAGCTGGCCAGCAACAGTGAAGCGTCGGTGCGTTAATAACCTAACTACTTCCAAATGGAAGAGTGCCCAATATACTTTACTAACCGCATCGCAAACAACAGGTCAAGGCTGATCGGGGTGACATCGACAGCGATGACAAGGACTTTGCGACGCTGCAGGAACGCACGAAAGGTCTGCCCAACCGGGAGGGGAACGTGAATAAGACTCAATAGATTTTCTTTCTTTTGTGGTGGTTAGGGTTCACGGCTTGTATTATGTATGTCTGTATTGGGTTTTAGCTTTTGTATTCATCTGTCTGGGTTAGATGAAATTCAATTTTTTTTTTCTTTCGGATGAGTTCGTGACTTGCTTTGCTGCAGTGTAGTTAATGGGTAGAGGATGGGATGTTTGGTTGGTATTCCGATGGTGGTGGATTGGTGGTGGGTATGTGTGGCAGTGTCCTCATTTGATTAAGAGTGTGATGGATTCCATCTTGTGTAGCTATGGACCAAAACTTGGGTGTAGATGTATGATGATAAGGTGCCCCGGAACGCCGCAGTCCCGTCAATCGGGGAGGAGGGAAGAGAAAACATGAAGCTGCTGTCGGTATATATTAACTGAAGGAAACGGACGAAGGAGTGGGTAGTTGAAAGAGGAGGGGGAGAGAAGAAAGACACAAAACACAATTCAGATAACCCAGTACAAACGCCGGACTCGCCCTCCGGGAATCACAAACGACCCCCAAACCTAAAACAACCCATATATATTAAGCTCCGAACCCGCAACTTTGAAGATCTCACTTTAAAAGCACAATCAAGATGACCAGCGTGATAATCAGCCCAACGATGGTCATCATACTCCAATTCTCCCCCGCACTGCGCCGGAACCGATCCAGGCGCTTCCTCGCCTTATCCAGCCGCCCCTGGTGCCGATCCACATGCCCGTCCAGATCATCCAGCAACGCCACATGGCCCTCCAGCTCGTCTCCGATCTGAATGCTCAGTTGGTGCTGCCGGCTGATCGACTCGCCCAGCCGATCCAGGTGCTCGTCCTGGTCCCGGAGCGCCTGCGCGTGGTGATCGTAGATCTGCTCGTTCGACAGCCCGTCCATGCCGGCGGCGCTGGCCCCCGGCGGCGGGGACGGCGAGTCGCGGTACGGCCGGAAGAGGTTCCGCCGGTGTTCCTCGTCGTCGGCCTCGGCCGCCTCGGCCGCCGCCGCGGCGTCCATGAAGCGCACGGATTTCGAGGACGGGTGCTGCGGGACGGGCTGCTTGAGGTCCGGGGATGAGTTCTTCACGTGGTTGGCGAAGCCGGATGACGACGACGACGACGACGAGGCAGATGCTGCCTCGGCGATGGCGGTCGTGATCTCGTGGAACTGAGCGGATAGCTCGTCGTGCTGGGTGTGAAGGTGGCTGAGCTGGTCGCGGAGGTCGGTGACGTCGTCATCGTGGCGGCCCTTCTGGGCTTCCAGCTGCGCGCACTCGGCTTCGATGGCGTCGATCCCTTCTTTGAAGGAGTCGAGCGAGCGCGAGATCTCGCCGTCTTGGCTGTTCGGCTCCAGGCTGAGGGAGATGGCGCGTTGACGCTCGAGGAGGGAGAGCTTGATATGGTCGGCGAGAAGGAGGAGTTGGCTGGGGTTTGGCATGGTGGCGGTTTTTGCTTGTGGCTGTGTGGAAGGTAGTGAGTAGGGGGTTGGTGGCTCGCGGGTGAGAGGTTGCAGATGCGTTGAGATGCGTTCAAGGTGGGTGAGATGAGGTGATGATTGCGGAGGAGACAGCGGAACGGTCGGGTGGGATTGTACGGATTTCGTGTCAGGCTGTTTGACGACTGCGCTAATTTCAAGAATTCCGCCGGGGAAGATTGACAGCGCCGGGCTGATGAAGACAGAATTATGACAAGAGATGGGTTGAGGTGGCTGGGTTGAGAGTTCGTTGTGAGAGAGGACAAGTGAGATTGAAGATGAGATGGCGAAGGACGAGGGATGATCGGCTGCAGCAGCAGTAGTGGCAGTGTGATGGTGGATCTGCCGCTCTCCGCGCCGCATTGAATTCCATCGGTCAGTCTCGCTCCCCGCAATTCATCCATTCTCCCAGTAATTTCGCTCCCTTCTACATCTTCCTTGCCTGGCTGACTCGAACCCACCCTCGAACACTCTTTTCGTCCGATATAACTTTTCCTGGTCACCTTTAGAGCCCCCTCATGGGTCTTTGCTTCGAGCTATCGTTTCGTTTCCCGGATCAAGAACGGCAATTGAACGGTTGATCTCCTCCTCTCCCTCCTTGCTCAGCGTCGGCTCCCGGACGGGCGGAGGATCAACCTCGAGGCTCTTATCACATATTAGACACCCCTCATGGCAGAGCAAAACATCTCAACATGACAAGCATTACTCTTGAAGACCTTTTGGCCATGGAGGCGAATTGCGACCGCGACGAGAGCGTCGACCTGCGCTCACTGGACTACGTTTCCAGCTACGATGACCATCTTATGTGTCCGATATGCCACTGCCCCTTCATAAGCCCGGTCCGGTTGAAGTGCGATCATGTATTCTGCCAGAAATGTCTTGTATCGGCCATCACGACCTTCGCAGCATCTCGAGACGACTTCACGTGTCCTGCCTGTCGCACACCCACCGGCGGTGTTTACCTCAAACTCCCCCGCCTCTTGGTCAACATGTGCGACGAGATTCGAGTGAGGTGCCCATTTCGGAGCGAAGGGTGTGAGGAAGTAGCGCCAAGAGTGTTCATTCAGACTCATGTCGACAAATACTGCGGGTATAGACCGATGGACTGTCCGCTGGGCTCATGTGGGTTGAAGACACGGAAGAAGGACCTCGACCCGGAAGGGAGATGCTTGCATGAACTTCACCAATGCGCGCGATGCGAAGGTAATATCATGGAGCAAGACTATAAGGTGCGCACAAAGAATGCAAAACACCGGGTTCCTTGCATTGCATTTTCATGGCCTGCTAACCTTATACCTCTGACAGGAACATCTTGACGAATTATGCCCCAACCTCCAAACCACCTGCCCAGACTGCCATACCACGATCCTCCGCAGAGAACTCAAACAGCATGCAGACACCTGCCCTGAAACCATTCACAGCTGTGCCGCCTCGAAATACGGCTGTCCCATTCAACTCAAGCGCGCCGACCTAGCCACGCACGAACAAACGTGCCCTTTGATCTCCATGGGCCCGTACTTCGACGCTCAGAATGCGCGTCTCGACTCGCTTGAACTCACCATTCGCCATCTCAAACAACGGAATGAGATCTTCGAGGACGGCTTAGCGAACATCCGAACCACCCTGGCCCAGTCGCCGACTGCTTCTGCGGGCCCGGATGATCGCGCAACGACTTCTACTCCACCCCGCCGCAACAACAACGCCCCAACATCCCCCAACAGCCAGTCTCAGATCGATAGCTCCAACCAATACACTGCCACCACAACAAACTACCTTCTCTCCTTACACGAGTCCCTCCGCGAGGAAGTCGGCCAACTCTCCCACGCCATCACGGATCTCGACGCCCGCGCCAGCATGGCGATCATGAGCGAGTGTCTCCGCATCAAGGAGGACATGGCTCATACCAATGCCGCGGTGAGCAGTATTCGCATGCAGGTGCAATGGCTTCTCAACCCTCGACTCCATCAGCATCAGAGCTCACAACGGACCGGGGGCGTCCGCACTGGCGCCAGCCCCGGTGGTCATACTCCCACGGCTGCTGCTGGACCCAGCACCTCCACCATCCCGCTTCGTCCGCGTAGACTTAGCGATAGTGGGCGCGAGGGAACGAAGTTATAGACCCTGGCGCTTTACAAGCATCACTAGCCTTCTTCGGTTCTATCTCTCGGCAGTGGCTCGGTCCATCGATATACTCGGCCACTATGCGACACCGGCGAACAAGAGAGTTTCAATACCATCAGCAATGTGCTCATCTCGGTTTCAATACTCTGTTCTTATACACGGGCAGCTTCAAGCTTTCTTTTTCTTGATGAGTAGATGGCAGGCGCATCCTCGATTTTTCTTTCCCCTATTCTATCTTTATCCTGTGAGCTGTATGTGTGGCTATCTCTTTCCCCTCCCGTACTGTACCTGTTGCGCGTACAGCGAGTATATATAGAAGTTTCGGCGTCTTCGATCAATTTTATACAATAGCACCATTATGACATTACATACGACCACCGATATCATTATCTACCCCTTGCATACAGTATACCCTGTGCTGGCTATAGTGCAACCGCATAGACTTTCGTCTGTGTTGGACGAGGCCTTTCTTCCGCCGGCTCATTACAATATCTACATGAGTCCAAACCAGGTCACCCACGGGGAGGGGCAGCAATTCACCCCTGCAGAGAAAACCCCACGCCATCCCCCGACCCCATCGCCACGAGATTGGCCCTCATCCTCTCCGCGCGCTCCCCGATCCCAAAGGCGGCATCCTCGCGCTGCACCCACGCCCCAACCCCATGCTGCAACACCGCCGTCGCCCGCACCTTCCCCGCAGCACTCTTACCAGTAGCACCACCACTATCCCCCTCCTGCTCCCCCTCACCCTCATCGACCGTAACCTTCAACCCCAAACTCCCATGCAGCGTCAACCGTGGCTCCTCCTCCCGCCCCGCCTCCTTGGCCCGATACACCCCACGATGCAAGATATTACTATCATAGAACACCGCATCGCCCGGCTTGAGCTCCACGACCAACTGACCCGGCAGTTCCGGTGCGAACGGGTCCGCCTCCCGCTCGACCTCCGTGCGCACGCGCCGATGCGACCCCGGGATCACGATCAACGAGCGATCGTCGCAGAGCGCCAGGTTATACTGGGCGTGGGACTGGCGGCCGTGCGGGCTCTTCTGGTGCAGCAGGCGCAGCTCCTCGTCCGGGGCGACGTGCTCGGGGATGTCGTCGCGGTGCCAGCGGAGGGCGAAGTCCTTGGTTTCGGGGGCCACGAGGAGGTTGAAGAGTTCCATCACGAGGGGTTCGTCTTTGTCGGGCTTGGTGCTGGTGCTGGTACTGGTACTGCTGGTACTGCTGCTGAGGCCCAGGAGCTCCTCGGCGACGGCGAGGACTTTCTCGGAGAAGTAGAAGCGGGCGAAGTCGGTCCGGTGCGGCATTTCCGGGTGCAGCAGGTGCTGCACCCCCCAGATGCCGCCTTCGGAGGCCGGTGGGACGGTGCTGGGCCACGGCGGGAATTGTTTGGGGACGGTCCGGAAGTGTGGCCATTGGCCGGTGCGGGTGAGCTGCGTGGCTTGCGTGGCGATGGTGCGGTAGTGGATGATCTCGGTGGGGGTGAGGAGGGAGGGGATCACGACGAAGCCGTCGCGTTGGAGGGCGGCGAGGTAGGGGGTTTCGGTGGCTGTCATTGTCTTGGGTTTGGGGGTTGTGTAGAGATTGGAGGAGATTGAAGGGGTGATGATGATCACGAGACAGAAGAGGGAGAAGGGTAAGAAAGCTAAAGAAAGGAAAGAGAAAGTCTCTGGTGGGGAAAAGAAGAGAAGAAGGCCGATCTATGGGGCTCGGTATAAATAAATGGTGCTCATTTATCGTACTATGTACTGTACTAGCAGCAAGTGAGGTATACCCGGAGTGGTTGGAGTAACATCTATACATCCCCTCACAACTATGCTTACAGCTAAATACTACCCTATCGGTCAAAGGTTACCTTGTTGTTTCTTGCATTCATTAAGCAATGGCTCACTGACTGTCGTCAAACTATGCTGAAACTGAAATTGCTTATAATGCTTGTGCTGTCGCAGAGCATTGTTTGGTTTGCCAGGAATAGTATTAATAACTTTACCCCGCGGCGGGCAGAAACGCGAGTAATCGATAAGAGGAGCAAAGCGGGGTCCAAAGTAACCATGGAACATGGTTACATGCTGGTGTCTCATTTCTATATTTGTTTTTTTCGTTTTTGCTGCTGAGCTCATTGTGGACCCGAGTCAGTCATTAGCATTACATATACTACTCTATTTACTCAGCACTCAGCACAAAGGACAAAGTGCGTGGCTACAATATGTACTTCGACACGAGCAACGACCCTCTGGGCCCATGAAGTCGTCAGCTCGTATGACGAAATGGGGTGTGGCTTGGGGTGGCTGTAGCTCAGCTCGCTTCTGCCGCTGCCACTGCCAAGCATGATCTATCTGCCCATGCCTCTTGTTAGATTAATGTTGACAAAGTTGACAAGGTTGCACACACCACACTCACGACAGCCTACTTAATGATACTCGACTAGCAAGACTCTCGTGATATCCATGGTCGGGAAGCTGCAGCATGAATAAGATAATTACTCCGAAGAGTCAAAATGCATACACACGGTGAATAACCGCCGACGCGGCTTGGGACTTCCCAAAGAGGCAGAATGGCGGGGCAGCGAGTTCCCAACTCCCAACTCCCAAGACTCTCTGGGCAGCTTGTCTTGGCCGTGGCTTGCGCCTCTCGCAGATCAGTGAAAACCAAGCTCGCTTCGTCATTTTTTTTTCTCTCTCTCTTTTCACTTTTTTCTTACAACTGTCTCTACTGTCTTCCGGAAAACACTGCAGACTCTCTTCCCGCTGCATCCCGCTGCATGCGCCTTTAGTTACGTCTTCTCGTGGGCTTAAATCCAAACCTCCTTACTGCTTCCATATTACGTCTCCACCCACTTTTGCCCGGAGACCCTGCAGATCTTCCGCGCTATGGCTCCGCGGTTGAATTTGGGCTCCCATGCCCTCCTCATCCTCGGTCTTTTGCTCGTTCTGCTGCCGGCTCAGACTTACGCCTTTGGCGCTGGAAACATCGCATCGATCTCCGCTGTGGAGGGCAAGAACTGGCGTCATGGAGACATTGAGGATATGCTCAAGACGGTCGCCTTCATCAAAGGCCACAAGTGGACCTCCACCATGGTCAAGCGCGTCTACTTTGGCAACTGGTTGCGTGATTACTCGCAGGCCATGGATGTCGGTACTCTCAAGAATTTACAAGCCGATACCATCCGCATCCTCGTTTGGATCCTGTCCTTCATGACCTTCGGATACGCGACGGCCGAGTTTGAGGTCACCTCCGACAGACTCGGTGTTTACCGTCCTGAGGAGCATATCGACAACCCTAAGGACTACGCGGACAACCAGGATGCGCGCCAGTACGACAAACGCTTGCGTGGACCTATCCGCCAGGTGGAACTCGAGATCGACCCGGAAACCGGCATGAAGAACTACATCGCCAATGAGGGCGGAGACTGGACGACCAGCTCCGGATATATCAAGTACAGCTTGGCTCGGAGCATTCACTACGGGCGGACCTACACCCACGGCAGAGACAAGGGTAACGAGGCAGACCTTTGCGAGGCGCTGCGGTGCCTGGGTCAGGGTCTCCACACTCTGGAAGACTTCGCGGCACACACCAATTACTGTGAGCTGGCTCTTCGCGAGATGGGCTTCAAGAATGTCTTCCCGCACACCGGTGTCAAAACGGAACTGAACGTCCGCGGCCGCCACGTCTTTCCGCTGGTGACAGGTACCTTCGGTATGGTGGATTTCTTCCACTCCGTTCTGGGAGAAGCCACCGATCACTTCACTCAGTCGGAGGTGAACGAGATGGACATCGCTCTTGGCGATGCTCAGAATAATTCATCCGCGAATGCCCTTGGCGCTTTCACGAATCTGTTGGGCGGTATTCCAGGAACCAAGGATCTCGTCGAGGAAGCTGAAGAGCTCAAGCGTCGCTCGGAGGCCCAAGAATCCGCGAACCGGAGCGGTGGTGCCCGTCAGGGCTACGGCTCGAGCAGAGGGCTCGAGGACGATTACGGGGCTTCGCGCTCCCGCGGCTTTGATGATGATTACCAGTCCTCGCGCTCCCGCGGATTCGATGATGAAAAGCCTAGCAGCTATAGGGCTGGCGAATCAGCACGGCCTCAGTCTAGTGGAGGATCCGGTGGCTCGGCACTGCCAGACTTTGACCCGAACCAGACCATTGCGCAAATTTATCCGATCCTCGAGTTCAGAGATAAGGTGGTTCGTAAACTCACCTCGATCATTGAGAAGATCCCTGGGCTGGAGGCCGTTGTCGAGAAGATCACGGAGACCCTGACGGTCTTTATCATGTCTCTCCTCGCACCCTTCATTCGTCCTATCATCAATGCTGCTTCCAAGTCGCTGCAAACCGGCTCCTCTGGTGTGATTGATGCCTCTGGCCAGCATCAGTATGAGCCGTGGACGGACCCTGAGTGTACCGATCCAACCCACTCTATGTTGTCCAAGGACCACTTTGCCAACATCCTCAACGAGCCCGCTGGCCAGGTTGCATCTGCTATTCTCAAGTATGTGGCTCCGCGAGTTCTCCATGCCTGGGAGAACATCAACATCTCTGAGGACCAGGTTTTGGATGATTGCTTGAAGGTGTTCCACCACCCTGCTCTTCGCGACAACCGCAACGAGGCCCACCGGACCATGTTCGAAGCCGTCGAGAGTTGGGTCCAATCCCGGTCTGACAGAGGCTCAAGACTTAATGACATTCTGAGCGCTGAGGGTGTCAAATCAGGCAAGAACACGGGTGGTGTACCCCACACCCATGGCGGCAGCGGGAACCAATCTGGACACAGCCAGCAGCATCGTCCTCCTTCCTCACAGCAGCAGCAGCAGCAGCAGCAGCAGCAGCAGCAGCAGCAGCAGCAGAGCGGGGGCTTACCATTCGGAGGCCTTTCCAACTTGCCCATTCCTGGTATCTCCAACCTCGGGGGGCTGAACAGTGCCTTCTCCAACCTTCTGGTGGGCGGTTCATCGAGAAACGAGGATCCCGAGCAGACTCAGAGCTCGACATATCAGACCTCGTACCAAAGCCAGCAGCAATCGTACCAATCCCAGCAGCAGTACTCGGGGCAGTCCTACGGCTCTTACGAGCAATCTCGTCCTTATGAGTTCCGTCCGTCGTACCCCAGTGGCCAGGGCTATGACTACAGCGGCCCCCGCGAGGAATCCCACCATCACCACCATCAGCCTCGCCCCGCCTACCCCAGCCAAGGGTATGAGCACGGCGGCGAGTCGGAAGGCATTCATCACCCTCCCGGTCATTTTCCGCCTGGTCGTTCAAATGATTCCTATGGAGGCAACAGTGGCTATGGCGGTGGCTACAACCAAGGCTATGAACACGGCGGTGAGTCGGATGGCGGTCATCATCGTCGTCACGGTGACCACCCCCATCACCCTCCCGGCCATCCTCCGCCTGGCCCTTCATATGATTCCTACGGAGGCAGTGGCTACAGCGGTGGTGGCTACAACCAAGGCTATGGCTCAGGGGAGTATCGTTACTAAGTGGCCTGTACTTAGGACAAGGTTGCTTTGGCCAGCGTATGCGGCTTCTACTTCAGCATTCGGACTTTCATGTATTCGATTCTGCCATCCTTGTATTCTAAGAATGAGAACACCTGTGTACTGAGCTGTGCCGTATCGATAGAATGATGGCGCTCAGGCATGGGCGATATGGACCGATTTCTTATGTTCTGTGGTTAGAAGGTGTAGCTAAGTACTCCGTAAGTGCTTCGACAAGTAGAATACCCTGGTGAATCGCTGGATCACGTGGCCTGGTTCCCTTCAGGAAACCCGACAAGCGGAACCTCCAAGCGAGTAAAACTGTTGCTTGGCAGTGGCAGAGACGAGCGGAGCTGAGCCCATGTAGTTAGCGTACGGGGACCTGCCGTCCTTGCACATGATGCACGGCGACTTGATCCAAGAATATGATGTCAACACTACCTCACTGTCCAACAAGACCAGCCCGGCTAGCTCAATCGGCAGAGCGTGAGACTCTTAATCTCAAGGTTGCGGGTTCAACCCCCGCGTTGGGCTTTACCTTTTTGCGTTTTTGCAGAGTCACTGCCCGCTCACTCCGTGGGAGACGTTCTTATTCCTTGCAGGAGGAAAGAGAATTGACCTCCTGATTCTACAGTAATCGACCGTATCCCGTCTAAACGTCTAAAACTGCTTTTGGTTGACTTGTTCTTGCCTCTGGCACATTTTACCGATGTGTCTATGGGTTTGGCTGAGATATATATATTTGTGCCTGCGTATAACCCCCCACACCCTGCGGGATCACGTCACTATTCCTTTTTTTTTCATCTATCGCCTGTTTCTTCGGCTTGTTATCCGAAACTTCGCAGGGTGCGAGAGAGAGCTGGCTTTGTAGCTCTTTACTGCCGTATAAGTAATTATCTTTCCCCCGACGGAGTAGTGTAGATATGTACATCACATTCGCTCCTGTAGCAATGTGGCTATTATTAACATACTACCGGGAGTTGTGGTTTGGAAGGTACAGTACGAGCTATTGTATACGAAGACGATCAGGTCCCTGACGTGATACATATCCTTCAGAACAGCAAAGTATCCTCCCAATTGAGCGGAAGAGTCAATCGATAGTGAAAAGTACGAGCCCGCTCAGTTCAACCCATGCTATGTACAGTACAACTCCCGGTCATTACAATGGCATATACATATATGTACATCATTTATCGTCATCAGCATCGTTATCATAAGCAGCAGCAGCAGCAGCAGCAGCAGCAGCAGCAGCGTCACCGCCACCACGGTCATCACCATTAGCCCTCTCCAGCGGTCTCTGCCCGTACACATAGTGGAACAGGGTATAGATGTGAAACGAGCCGTGGACCAACTCATGCCGCACGTCCTGGGCATACTGCTGCGCCTGCTCATACGTGTACCCCATGACGCGGGTCAACAACGCCAGGGAATACGGCTCGATCGTATCGAAGAAGGCCGCCTTCCCCATGCGACCGAGCTCCTTGAAATGCGGGTTTCTCGCCCACGGGCCGAGCGGGCACTACATGACCGAGTCAGTCAGTATAAGCTTGTTGATCCTTCACAACCTGATTGAGTTGCGAACGGGTAGGGGGGGGGGGACCACCTTATACGTATCATCCGTGACATTCTGGAACCCGGCGTCCTGCATCCAGCCGCGCACACTGGCGGCGATGTTCATGCGCCGCCCGAACTTGCGACTGGCCTCGTCCAGCTTGCGCTGGTACTCGTGGATCAGCACGGCCTGCCGGTCGGTGCCGTCGTCGGAGCGGATCCAGGTCTCGAACTCCTGGATCTCGACCCAGCCGCCGGGCCGGACGTGCTGGTAGGCCTGCTGCAGGAAGCGGGGCCAGTCGGCGATGGAGCCGCCCAGCGAGCGGCCGTGGATGTAGTCGAAGGCCTCTTCGGGCGGGAAGGCCCAGTCGCTCTCGGCGTCGTCGATCAGGAACGAGCAGTTGGGCGGCGTGTAGCGCGGCTGGATCGGGCTGAGGTCGGTGCCCACGACCTCCGCGTGCGGGTAGGCGTCCGCCACGTCCAGCGCCCAGATGCCCGTGCCCGTGCCGACGTCGAGCACGCGCTGCGGGCGCGGGCGCGGGTGCGGCGTGGCGGCGGCGGCGGCGGCGGCGGCGCCGCGGCGGAGGAGGACCGGGGCGCGGTGCAGCTCGCCGCCCGTGACGCTCTTGAAGAGCTGGTGCAGCAGCGCTAGCCGGTCCTGCTCCTCTTGGTCGTTGGGCATCGGGTATTGCCCGTTGCGGTAGGCGTGGTAGCGCCGGCCGTTCTCGAAGCAATAGTCGCGCACGGTCGAGGAGATGGTCAGGTTCGAGCCGACGATCGACTGCGCGTCCAGGAGGGAGTCGTTGTCATCGCTGGTCTGGGGGGTTAGGTCAGTCTTGTTGGATTTTATCTTGTGGGCTAGAAACTTTGTGGCCCATCGAGTAAAGCAAGTATCTAATCCGGATAGATGACGAATACAAAGAGATAATATACCCTTCTTGGAATCCTGACTGTTGCCCTTTGGACCACTAGCCACGACTTATGATTGTTGCTGCAATGAGATCACATGGTGTTGTTCTGAAGAGTGATGTGAGAACAGCAGCAGGAAAGCTTCCTGCTCGGCTGATATAGCGAGGAATGACAGCAGGGGAAAAGTTGGGGAATTCCAATAATGGCAGATGCGGATCAACGTAGAATGGGAAACAGCACAGGGGATCTTACGTCTATTTGAATTTGTTCATCAATGTTAGGGTGCGACATATTGCTTGATGGCAGTATCGACGGAAAGGACCGACAAGGAAACGAACGGGAGGTCGCCAGCGGTACAGTACAATGCTTCCCTACTGCGGAGAGTGACGGATTATAAGGAATTAGAGATGTACGGAGTACAAGACGAGAAAGAACAACAAGAGGAAGGAGGAGGAGGAGGAGGAGAAGAATCGACCGAGACCGTAGACAGGTCAGTAGGGAAGGGAAAGTGTACATGCAGGACACTAACTACAGTGCCATGCCAAAAGTATGAATAGGCGCATTGACCGGGGGTGTCAGTGTCAGGGAGTCGCGGACCCAAGAAACAGAGCGTCGGGTCCGGCGGAGGGTGGCGGTGTGCCGTGTCCGTCCCACCGGGATTTGCTTGGTATTTCTGGCTTTCTTTCTTTCTTGCTTCGCCGCATTCTGCCTCCCTTTTCGGCTCTGTGCTTAATCCTCAAGGCTCACACACATCCATATCTCATTCCTCTCACGGAGAGAGAGAGAGAGAGAGAGAGGCAAGAAGCAGGAAAGACAAACAAACAAGAATCTGACAAGTACATCCACTCCAAAGGATCGACAAGCCCAATCAACAAGACTTAAATCTATCCACTTTGCTGGTGGAAATCGATCTCCTCACTGCACTGCAGCTTTGCTCCTCTCCCCCATTCACTATTTCACCCACTCATTGGCTGGATAAGACACCCCCCTCTTCCATCATTGAAACTAAACCCTAGTTACATAGTACCTTGGGTAGCAGCTCAGGTAGCGTACAGTACGAAGTACAGTCCCTGAGAGCCATGATTTGGAGTTCTCATCACGTCAACTGCAGGCTTGACTGTGTGTACAGTACAGTACTCCGCAACGATCCATCTTCGATCAACATAGTACAGTGCATATTGATCCACCCATCCCCCCTCCTCTTGGTACCAAGCAACAATATACTCGCCAAAGGGAAGAGTAGCGAAGCCATGCCAGCGATAACCACAGCATACATCGTCCTCATAAATCGAAGATCCATCTTCAAGCAAATCCACCAATCCCACAGACGCAGACTCCCAACCTCGAATTCGAATTCGAACCCGTAGATGTGGTCCTATCTTCCTATGTACTGTCCACAGGGAGTACCTATACCGCAAATAGCAATCCAGACTCGAACATACATCGGTTTGTTTCACATCTAGCACCACAACCCCCCCCCCCCCCCCCAAAAAGCCCCCAAAAGAGAAAATTGGGTAAGACAAACAAGAAGAACAAGCCCCGCACGGCTAAAGCCGTCGGTCCATCCTTTTTTTTTTTTTTTTTTTTTTTTTTCATCCAGGACGTGTCACAAGTGTTACAGTGTCACACAGACTGTCCTGTCAAAAACCTTGGGCCTGGGTCCCGTCCCTACTAGGGAATGGAGTAAAACGACAGTAAATCTTCCCGGGGCTCTACCGGTATCTTTTGCCCTTGCTTAGCCTTGGTACTACTGTGCCTTCAGCTAGCCTGATAAGTTAACATGTTAGTCTAGTGAGCTAACTAAATACTAAACTACAGTACAGTAAGTAAGATGTAGACTGACCCCAAGTAAGTAAAACCACTAGCCAACCAGATTCAGGATTCCACCTCTTCCAGGACACCCGATTCCAAACAATCAAGAGGGATCCCCCGCCTTGCCTTGGCTGCCCCCTCCCCCCGGTTCTGCCCTCTTTAACCTAGTATGACCTTCGACCTTCCCTATTGTTTCCCCAGCCTCCAGCCTGCTGCTGGACTACCAGTCAGGTATCCCGGATGTTTGACACCGGAGAATTTCCTTGATTGTACAACAAGGCAAGAAAAGGAAAATGATTGCACCCCCGGCGGCGTTGCCTTTGCTTTTTTTTTTTTTTGCTTATTTCCTTTTTCTAATGACGGCTCATGGGTGATTGCTTACATCCTGTTGAAAAAATCCCCGAGCTCGAATCACCCACTAACAAAGTACAGTACCTTGAGACAGTAAGCAAGTCGTCGAGCATCAATCAATTGGGTTCGGGTCGTGGGTGATCCCCGAGATGATCCCCCCCCCTCCCTCCGGTGTTTAATCATCCTGCGACATCGATCGGTGATAATTGACTCTAGCTCCGGACTAGTTTGTGTAGTGCTTGTTTTTCTTGTTAGGGTAGGGTGCTGTTCTTACTGTAGAATAAAACAAATGAATGCTCCTACGAGCTACGACCGTGCTAGACATTACTTCTTCTTGGGGTCAAAATCCGTCTGGATTGCTATTAAGATTTTTTTGATCATGTACTGTAAATATCTAGAAAGCGCATTTCTGTCTCAATCCTTCGTCACTTCTGCATAGCAGCCCCGAACTGAGACCTCGAGCACACTCACCGATGAATGAGGACCGAAGCACAATGGCAGCTGGCCTCATCATTCAACCCAGGCTGTGTAACTTTTCTTGCTCGGCCGGAGTCAGTGACGTAAACAGCTGCTGGAAGTCGGGCTTTGTGGACGCATTGCGGAAGAAGTCCAGCAGGAAGCCCTGCGTTTCATCGTCACGCTTGCGCACCCCGAACACACTCTCACTGCCGCCCTCGCCGAATGCCATCAGCTCCTGCTTGGTGACTCCAAGGTTGAGGTCGAGAGTGTTGCCCGGAACGTCCTCCCATTCGTCGTCTTCGTCACTGCCCTCTTCCTCCAATGCAGCCGCAGTGGCCGCGTCGATCTCCTTGTTGCCCGAGGCCGCCGCCAGTTCTTCAACCAGAACCTTAATGATCTTCAAGGGTGCGGTCACTGTCGTGTACTGATCAGGGTTCTTGCGAGCCTGGGACCGGGTGCGGATGCGACCCGTATCCTGGATAATCAGATCGCCCTTCACCTGCACCTGGGAAATGCGAGGATCTTCCAGGTTGTACAGCGTCGCAAGGGCGATGATGTTCTGCTTGATCTCATCGTAGCCGGCGAAGTTGACCGAGTTCTCCAGCCACTTGCTGAGCACAATGGGAAGACCGCTCTGGCCGCCAATGTTCACCTGCGACAGGAAGTCGACAACTTCACGCGCGCTGACGAGCGTCAGTCGGGCGAAGACAAGGATGAGGCTCTGGATGAACTGGGCCTGCTGCGCAGTTGCAAGTCGCTGGGCAACAGCCTGGAGAAGCTGTGGCAGGTAAGGTCCAAGTCGTTCGGAACCCGCCCGCTCGACCAATTCGGCTGCCAACTGTCCAACCTCGGTTGCCGCATTGTCATCAACAGCAGGCCCCAGCAGACGATCGATGATGATGAGGGCAACTTCGATCGCCTCCTTGCCATTGTCGGGATCTCTCCACGAGACGAACTGGTTGAAATCGTGTGAAAGCATGTGACGCACGGCTTCTGTGGCAGGACGAATCAATTCCGCATCAGTTGAATCCAGTAACAGGCGGTTCAACTTGGGCATGACGGCCTCGACAAAACCGCTAGGAAGGGGCTCAGAAGCTCTCTCCGCGAGAGCTCGAATGAGGTCCGCGGCGAAATTCGTCAGAGCGTTTTCCTGAGTCAGGTTGCCAACATCGATCGCTCCAGTCAAGGATGGGAGAACCTTCTCGCAAAGGCGAACAAAGAACTCGGGACCTTGTTCTGAAATATTTTCCACAATGTCCTCAAATGCCTCCGTGACAATCATCGTCAACTGGAAGTTTGTGGGTCCATTGCTGGCGATGTTGAATAGCACATCGATGGCATTCGAAGACAAGACCACGCTTGGGTTGACCATGATGGTATCACGCAGGGTCTCCGCGAGGGTGACTTTGAGATCGTCACTGTCAGAATGTTCCGAGATGTCGTGAGAGGAAATGAAGTCTGACAGCGCGGAGATGGCAGCTGCCTGAAGTGGAACGGTGGCGCTTGAGGGAAGCGATGGCATGAGATCCTGTAGTGCCCGGATGCAGGATACTCTGACGACCTCTGAGGGATCCTCAGTCACCGCCTTGAGGGAAGCCTCGAGGTACGAAACCGCGGTTTGCTGGAAAGACTCATCTGCTACCTGGCAGAGAACCCCAGCGGCGAGATAGCCGCGGGCCCGCAAGAACTCCTCTTCCTGCTGAATAGCAAACTGGATGAAGTTGCTGAATCCATTAGCAAGCCCGGCGGGAACCTGCTGAGAAACTTCGTTAAAGTCCCGGAGAATCTGGCTCAGAATGTAGAGGGCAGACTCGCGAGCCTTCCACCTGAGAGTTGAGCATGGCGTTAGTCCCTGACGAGGATGGTTTAGGGAAGGCTGCTTACGTGGAGGACGGATCAGAGAACACAGTATTCAGATGCGCATGCAGACCCTCAACAGCAGTATTCTTGAGCCATTCGCCCAGCTTGATGACTAGATCTCCACTGCAAGTGCGGGGCGTGTAGTTGGCAGTGACAGAGGTCTCTTCTGAGAGAAAGAGGTTTACATCGATGTCCCACAAACCTTCTTCTTCCGAAGTGATTTGAGCATATGAGCCTGCTAGTTTCAGGATCTCTGGCAACCAGCTTGATGTGGCGGCTGCCTGTCCGGCATGCTGTAGCTGCTGCTGAAGCTCTGCCTTGACTGGCGGTGCCTTCAGCAGCGTCTGAATGAGATCCAGCTCTTCCAGGACCAGGAAGTCCAGTGTGTAAGGCAGCCCGTCCACATCTTCCAAGCGACCTTGTCTCTCTTCCTCGATGTAGAATCCGTGATACGTCGATTGGATGTTGGACAATTCGGTCCAGATCGTCGAGAAGTATACTGGGCTCTGGGGCGTCATCAAACCGGGAAATACCATGCGGATCTTCATCAGGGTCTAACGAACAGGGCAACATTAGCACAGCAAGAACAAAAAGAGTGAGTTTGCAGGTCACTCCGGTGACGTACCTTGACGACCTGCAGCTTCAAACCAATAACGCCCCTCCACTGAGACGGGATCTCGCTGTCCTTGGATTCCTCGAACTCGCTGGGAGCCTGGGGTAGAGGTGCCTTGAGTGTGGCGATGAAGAACGGAGACCAGCCATTGAGCACCTCGTCCATGAACTGCTTGACCGCCGTCTTGTGCTGCTCAAGCACCATCTCCAGGGTATCAAAGCAAGCACGGAAAACCGCCACGGCCAATGCTCTCAAGATGGGCTTTCTCGATTCGTTGGTGGCCACATTGAAGAGCGAGGTAACAAGGTCTCGGGCAACGTTGAAGAACTGCTCCTCGCTGAAGCCGGTATCGACCAGGTCCAGAAGGACTTTCAGTGCGCCGTGCAGGGCCCCGGCTGTGCTGTTGGCATCGTTGATGATCTGAAGTAGAGTAGGCAAAAGCTCCGCCCACTGCTCGGGGAAATCGGCGCTGGCGATCTTGCTGACAGCGAAGCTCGCGGACGACTTCACCTTGCGCTCCGGTGTCTCCTTGACCGTGGCTAACTCCAAGAGCGCGCGCCGGATCTGCACCTTGTTATCGTCGCTGACAAGCACCTGGCCCTTGTATTCATCAAGAACCGGAGACCAAGCCGCGGCAATGAAGGTCCGGAGAACGGAAAGGGCAGACTGGCGGAGGTTGGTCGGAACGGAATCGTGAGAGGCGATCGCGGCAAGAGCGAGGGGGAAGGTCTCGTTAGAATAGAGACGTAGAAGCTGTAGTTCGGCGGCCTTTCTGGTATCAGCCACCGACGACTGGGTGTCTGCAAGCAGCGACAGGAGCTCTTGCTCCATGGTGGGCGAGAAGGCGTAGACGGGAATTTGTATAAGGAATGAATGGGTGTTGGGAAGAGATAGATAGTTATGTACGAGAATAATAGAATTGTTTAGGTCCGGGGAGGGGGGATCTGGGAATTTTCCTGTGTTGATTGTCCCCTCAATCTCTGATACCCGATAAACGGTTCAGGTGGTAAATGGCATTGGCAGTACGTAGATCAAATCAGCACTGCGAATTGTCGCGACAACCGTGAAGAGGGGCGGAAGAGCGGGCGGCAGAAGGAAAGGCGGTGAGACGCGAGGATCTCCCCAACTTAACGTATCGCTTGCGCCGGTGGGTGGGGGGGAAAGAAAGAGGGGCTACAACCGAGACAACAACTGGTGATATGTCTGACTTCAATCCTTCGATCGGATCGGTCCTCTTCCTCGACTCTTCCTCTAGGATATGACCTCCAGCGTGCTACTCATTATTCCCCATCTATCTCATCTCCACGACACAGCCTGTGGGCTTATCAATGCTGTCAAAAATATGCCCCCCGTTCTATATGTATAGGTAACGCATCAATCGCGACGAACCTGTCAGGCACGAGTCTGAGTACACTGCCGAGGGCACAGACTTGGATTTCGGAAATGGGAATGCTTATCACCTGTCAATTGATCTGCTAATGGGAGTATTCTTTTCCGCGAAATCCAAAGAAGCTACATCATACTCTGCGAGTTTGCGAGAAAACAGAACTAACCCACTAGCGAGGCCAACCCAGGGGCATCAGGTACACCAATCAGTGGAGACGCCCATCGCCGAAGATAAGGAGGGTGCACTTCACAATTCAGAGCACAAACCCATTATCCATGTTGCTGGGGCGCGAAGCGGATCGCCTGCACCAACTGTGTCAGAAGCCAGCCCTGACATCTGGACGACAAGGATATCGATCGATGCGCTTATCCCTGGCAAGATCTTATCAGGAACCACACCACCAAACCCGTTACGCATGGAGCCACACCTCTACAGATATTTAGTACCTAGTACATCTCACGACTAGGACCTCGATCGCGCTCGTGAGACAAATCCAATCTCCGATTAGGCCTTCGTCCTACGAGGGACTTCAGTGCCAGGGAAGATCCCTCGACTATCGTCTTACCCCGGATTTGGGTTGACAATACCATCACGTGTGCCTCTGATCGTATGCATTCCATGTTCAACTGACCCATGAGCATGTACTTCGACCTTGTCCCGCCAGGGCAAACAAACAGGCTTTTCCAGCATGTGGCCCTTCCGCAACGATCGTTGATATCTATATCAAGATCTGCGCGCCCCAGCTCCCTGACGACACCGGTCCCTTTCTTTGCCTTCGCAATGATCAGCGGCAACTGCGAATATCACCCCCCGGCAGACCAAGACCTTGAAACGCTTATTACGCGAATCAAAGTGCATTGTACTCCAAGAAAGAATGCCCGTGATAGTTGGGGCAACGTAGTGGGGATTCGAAAAAAATCGGCTGGTATCAGCGGGATGAGATGTTGGTACGGGCTACCCGACTCTACAAATGTTTTTGAGCGTTAGATGTAGTGGCCCGCAGTGAGCCAATGGATAGCATGGGTCCTTATTTGAGGTATTGATCAGGTGAGGGCGAAAAAAAACAGTACCGAGAGAAAAAGCTGACGGGCAAGCGAGTTTGTTAGCACTTGGCAGCAATGTGCGAGGGAAAAGAGGGAGGTTGTTTAGTCTACCCGAGTTATGGATCTCTCCTCTGGGCGTGTGGCGTCCGGTGGAGAAGATCTGGTTCGGGTGTTCGAGAAAAGCAAGAGTTGACGATGATCACTTCGAGTAATGGAGCAATCTAATCCGCGGGTAAGTGTCCGCCCAACGGATGATGTACTTATGTACTCCGTAAAGGATATCTGTGACGTGAGAACTTTAATGGTTGATATAGTAACGTCTTGGTTGACGGTCATGCAGCGTAAGGTTTATGGAGGGTGAGGATGGGGAAACTTTGGACTACCTGCCGTAGGGCGCTTTCTTCTTGGTAGGCTCTGATTGAGATCCGAGTTCATACCCCTGGGAGGTGGTCTGATCTGTCGGGTACTTTGGAACGAACCCAGGTACTCCAGATACTGTACCTAGGTAAGGTACCCGGCAACGAATATGTGTACCGGCGACCATAGTCTAAGACAAGGTACAGAAAGGCTCCCGGGGGGGAGGGGGCGGCTCCAGTGGCGTTGGGTATGGTTATGTAAAGAATTTCGGGTAAGTTGTAGATTTTTGATGGGCCCGGGGAGGGGAGGGAGAGGAGGCTGATTAATTGTATGAGTAACTTGGTACTTTAGTTAACTGAAGTTGATCATGGTGGGGTTTTTGTTGAAGGCAGGGGAGAAACCGGCAAGTTATTATTGATTATTTAAGATGAGCACCTGAGGGGCGGCAAATCCCCCTAAACAGGAAAGTAGTAGAATGATTCATTGCCTGGAGGGCAAATGTCTGGTATGCGGGCGTACTGTACTGCACTTCAAGGCTGACTGGGTTTCACAACTAACCAAGCCAATAACCTCGGGTAAGCACAAAAGGCAGCTGGGGAAGGATGGGAAACATGTATACCTTACTATAGTATGTGCTGTATGTAGTAAGAAGGCAATGAAGTCCTGCAGTGAAACTGATGAGACAGTATCCAGCACAATGCATACATAGAGTCAGTAAGTTACCCGCAAGTCAAGGGATTCGCTGAGCAATGTGGAGGACGGATGGATGAATAATTCCTACGAAGAACACTGGGCATGATCGTCACTAAGACTCAGGATGTGATATCAGACTGATATCTACAGACTACAGAGCCGGGGGAAAGGGCTAATAAGGCTGCACTACACACATCTTGAAAACTGACCACAGAATGAATTTCCGGGTACGTACTATACTGTGTAGAGCACATGTAGTGGAAGACCCATTTTCGCAGTGGGAGGAATCTCAGCCACTATGCAATTAGACTTTGGTTCCTTATAGCCAGGATACCCACCGCCGTCGGTCAACCACGGCTGGCATTTCTGCTCCCACGCCTTTCCTTGTCACATCCGTTTGTTGTGCGAGTCAAGTGTTGGTAGCAGATGATCGGCCTGGCAAACGGAAGAGGCGGTACTAAACCAGCGAATGCGCATTGTTACTCGGTACAGAACGAGTGGGGAATGTTGATGATGAACATTGGGCGCTTTCCCTTCCACCTTCGTTGTCAATACCAGTTGTTATATCCTTTTCTTTTCTTTTCTTCTCTCTCTTTTTTTTTGTATCTGATTTTTGGACCGAGTTAAGGAAAGGGAAAAGGAAGTTCTTTCTTCACCTGCACTGAATTTATTCAAACATGTACCTAGAGAGTGTCTACTTGCCTGCAGTTTGCCTCCGTGCTGTGAATGGTCAATGAGGGAAGTTATAATGCACAATGACCGAATCCTTTTCGCCTCTACGTATGCTGCTGCTCTCTTTACAGTTTACACCGTTTGTTCCTAAGATTGCTACAGTCGGTTCCATTCCGTCTTAGCCCAGCCTCAACCCCGTGTACAGTAGAGGATGAAGGATGTCCTGTAGTTTCTGCTGTCATTGGATTTGAGGGATGTCGAACGACAAATCCTCATTTTCGGGGGGGGTAGTACTGTACATCCTGCCTATTCTGCCTGTTCGTAAGATGGTAAGGTAACGAATGGTAAGAATGGATCATTGAGCTGAATGCTGCAGGGCATCCACACCCATGACGCAACCACGTGACGGGGAGAGGTGGAGGTGAGTATGAATGAGCCTGTATGGTCGGTAGTACTCCCTCCGTACGGAGTACTCAGTACGGAATTAGTGATTAGTGTTAAAAAGAGACAGCCATGAGAATGGATCATGGATGACTTGGGCGCCTTCTGCTCTTAACTAACAACTCGTCGTCGCCCGACAAGCTTTCCCCTCCGAAAGACTTGAGTAGTTGAGGTGCCCGCAAACCCTCCCTCTCCCTCTTTCTCGCTCTTCCCCTTCTCTTCCCTTCTCTTTTCCTCTCCCTCTCTCTCCCTCTCTCCCTCCTCCTCCTCCTCCTCTTCTTCTGCCTCATTCCCTCTCTCTCTTGTGATTTAGTTTGGTGTTTTCCTTCTGGCTTCTTGTATTAACCCGGGGTGTCTTTACTCTTCACATTCACTATAGCACCTTCATCGATTTACCCTCACTAGCTCCGGGATCTTTAAGCGGGCTCCCCTGGGAAACCTTGGCTTATCCCAATCCGATACAGTTCAGAGCAACTTAAGCAGCCAGCAGTAGCCCACCTCTCCCTTTCACGCCCGCCCCTCTTCAATCAAAGGGTCGGTCCCATATCCATCTGTCAGTTTCCCTCCGCTTCTTGTCTCTGTTGGCGCAAGACATTTAAGAGAAGGAAAGAAGAAAAGAAGAAAGAGAAGTCGAAGCTGAACCAATTCGGCTGTGCTCTCTTCTTCTTCTGTTCCCTTTTTCTTTCCCTTCTGCTTGGTTCCTTTTCGCAGAGGGTTCAGTGGAAAAGGTGGTGGTTGCCGTTGTGGTTGTTGTTTGTTGTTCAGGGAGGCAGTTTGTAAGGAAAAGAGGGACCTTTTCTTAAAAAAAAAAAAAGGGAAAAAAAAAGGAAAATTAATTGGGAAAGGACATCCAACCAGGGCAGGGGAAAAAGAGAAATTCCATCATCATCATCAACATCATCACCGCATTATCTATCTCTCTCTCTCTCCCCTCTCTCTTTTTTTAATACTCCGATTACGGTTCTCTCTTGCCCCCCTCCCCCCCCCCTCTCCTCCTCTCCTCACCGTTTGTCACGATCGCAACGAACGAAGTCCTCCATGCTCTGAGATTTGTTTGTCTCGTTGTCCAGTCCACCCAACGTATGTCTAATCCTCTTTCCTCTGACTCTCCCTCCCCTTGTCTCACCACCATCACCACCCCCGATCATTATCACAACAATCACCCCTCTTCTGTCGTTTCCCTTTCCCCCATCATGCCTCTTCCTTGACCTACCATCACCACCTTCACCACCATCACCTTCACCACCACTACTACACTACTACCATCGCTACCACTAAGCTACCTTAATGCAACTTCACCTTCACTGCTCTCTTCCTCGTCGTACCCTCTCCCTCCGACCACCCGATCTCTTTTCCTCCTGATTTTCAAGTTGCTTATCTTTCGCAACTTTCCCTCCTCTGTATCCAAACCACTTACTTCTCTACTAACGAAGTTCGTGGTTACTCCCCTCTTCACCCCTCCTTCCCCTCCCTCCTCGCTCTTCTCAACATCCCCATCCCCACCACTTCCTCCCACCCCCTCAATTCCCTTGTCACATCACATACAATCTTTAGGATGGCTTAACCCCCCCGAAAAACGCAACTCAGCTTGTATAATTGGAAGAGAAAACAGTTTATTGACTCGCGTGACTCGATAAAGGCAGAGCGATGATTAGCCTCAGGGTGGAACAGCACTCAGAATCTCCGAGATCCCGTCAATACCATTTTTCCCGTGGAAACGACGATACCAGAGCCTTCGACGGCAATGCCTATCGCCAGTGAGAGTACCACAATCCCTTCCGTTACAACCACCATGACAACATTCTCAACCCCTGTCACCACCCCAAAGTCGCTGCCCAACAACCAGTCTGCGTTGGCGGCATCTTTCACCAACTTCCTCACCGTCTCGATACACCAGATCCTGTTCCTCCGGTCAGTCTACCCGCGAGCAACGTTCCTCCCTGTCCGGGCGTACAATTATCCTGTCCGGCAATCCCGTCACCCAAAGGTGTGTGACTACATCAACGATGCGTCGATCGCGGTCGGAACCGAAATCTTGAAGGGCACAATCACCGCCGTCAGCATCATCATTTCTTCTCTCCGCACCAACCAGCCCCTCGAAAGATATGCGTTCGATCTATCGGGCTTCCCCCGCGTGCCCGCTGGGGAGATTCACACCACCTTCGAGGATCGAAAGGAGGATCCTTCCAAGGCAGGCATTCCTTTGCCCGACCGAGCTCCCGCTCCTCCCACAGTCGACCTGGAAGCACAGTTCCGCGCCTGCCTCGCCCGCCTGGCATCTGCATGCGCACGGCTGACGCCATTGCCTCGAGATGACGAGTTCAGTTTTACCGTCTGTATTGAAGTGCGCGAGGACGCTCTCCCCCCTGCCGGATCTACGACCGAAGAACAGACATGGATTGTCGCAGAACCCGGCAAAGTCCACCTCAGATCGTGTACCGCGCCGTATTCGGTCTCGAAGTTGAGAAATGGCGAACCGCAGCCGCCACCCCCGAAAGTGTCAAACGGACGCGCTAAGACAGTCCCGGTACGCCGGGTAGAAGCTGGTGAACTTCGACTGGAACTATGGGTGGAGGAGGCGCGGCAAAAGTTCAACGAACCTGTGGATTCGGAGCATCCGCCATGAACTTCGTTTTAGTCGCGATCGCCGTATCCTCTTTGTCTAGTCCATTGGACTTTCCGACCAGACATGTTTCTGCTCTTTAACTCATTACCTTTCTCTTTTCTTTTTCATATATCTCATTCTATTTAGCGTGGCCAATGATCGAACATACATGATGGATGAGGAGATTTAGGAATTGTCGTCGATTGAGCGGCGCAAATATATAAAATGGGGAGCGGACGATTTTTGGGACTCGCATGGCATCATCATAGATTTGGTTGATATCTTTTCTTGTCTTTCTGTGCTCGCTCTTCGTTTTCAATGTTTCCTGATCATCATTTTGTCACGTTCCTTTTCTTATCACTTCGATTGTCATTTCTTTACCACTTCTTTCATTACTCTTCCTTTTTTTTTTTTTTTTCTTTTTCTTTTTCCTCCCTACTTTCATATCTCTCTACTTGTTCACATGCTCTCTTCAAGGGACTCACCATCTTCCATACCATCTCCTTTCTGTATCTCTCTCTTATTATTTGTCGAGCTCGTTCTCTCTCCAACTATATGATTTTAGCAAATTCAGAATACCGGCCAATTTCAGCCATGGAAAGGTTACCTGCCTTGTTTGTCTTGGGTGATTTATGCTTTTATGCCTTGAGCCGAATGACCCGAGGGTGCGTTGTTTGTAATCAATCATGTGGTTTGACCGGAGATGCCACACACCGGCCAGCCTGCCTTTTACTCCCCCAGCTCGTCGCATTTAAACTTCCCCGTCTCCGACCACTTCATTAAAATCCGGTTTTCTCCCCTGTTCGTGCTCCGTGTTTGCTTCGAGTTTTTGTGTGCTTTCCCCAAAGTTCCACGTTCCGAAAGCATGAATCCCACCTTGAATAAAAAAGGACGCGCATATAGCATATATTTTCATACTACTATTACTTAAACGCATGACGTATACATATATGAGACAACATGATAGCCAATGAGATGGGACCGTATGAAGAAATGAGCAAAATTTACCCCCGCACTTTCTTGTC